TCATTTCAGCTGTAAGGGAGTGCGACGGGATACAGCTTACAATTCAGCTTTACAGCTTTATCATTAGCAGGCTTATTCTAGAAAATAATCAATAACTGCTCACTTATTTGGAAATACAAACTTTACATCTCTTAGATCCTTAAACTAGTCAATGCACAATGGTATTGTCGCATTGTCATACGCAAGGAAGACTGTCTTGCCCTGCACTTCCTCACCAAGGGCATAGGTGGTCCTTGCAGCATGCTGGAACATGGTGTTGCGAAACCAACTCTCAGAGGGAAAAGACTTGCTGAACTTGATAAGGTCACAACCTTCCATAACGCGAAGGAAGGCGGCAACAATAAGTGGAGCGATCACCGGAACTTGGGTAAGGGGGAGCGAAGGACAACTGGCAATCATGACCACAAGAATGGATTGCATGTGAAGGGATCCACTGCCAAACTTGTAATTATCGAAGCCGGAATGAAGCTCCTTGATTTTCTTCTCTTGGTTGCACAGCCGTTCCACCTTGTTCCACAGAATGACAGTGTGGGTTTTCGGTACACCCGGCACAACAAAGCCTTGCCCTTGACTGTTGATTGAGTGTTCGTCAAGTTGAATGTCTTTCATCGCCTTCTTGACCTTCCGACCATCGACTTCTTCTTCAACAGTCAGAGTAGAAGCAGTTGACAGCGAATTTGGTTCCACGATGTCGGTCACAATACCACCCATGGTTGCCTCAGCAGGAGTGCCCTCACTTGTTGGGTCGAGAGAGCCCGTTTGGTAGAGGAGTGCACGGCAGGAGATGGATCTTGGACTTGGACATAGCGACTGACATTGCCATGGTGGCGGCTGACATAATCTTGAACCAGCGTGGAAGCGGCAGTACCAGTGACTTTCCAAGGTTGGCGGCATTGAAATCTGTGGCTCTTGTGGGAGACATGGCGGTTCTTTCCAAGAGGATCAGTTTCCCCAGATGGACTTGCAAGGAAGTTGTTGCATCCAGAACAGGTCAGCTTGGATGGCAATGGAAAACAAGTGCAGTACTTCATCAAGCGAATGCTCTTGGAGCGACCATCATGAGCAGCGGCAACAAAAGGAGGAAAGGACAGGTCTTCAGATTCATCATCTCCAGTAGAAGAGGTTGCGCTCCTCATGGAGCAGTTCATCTTGATCAGACTAGAAGAGAACAAAAGGTTAGATCAAATCAGAAGAAACAACAATCAACAAACAGAGAGCGAACACACAAAACAGCAAGACTTCGTCAGCACTTGCCTTTTGCCATTCTGGAAAACAGAAAGAATGAGCTTTTCGAAGGCTTGGCTGCTTGGTTAGATGCCGTTGGAGGGAGTTGTCGATAACAAGAGCCAACAGTTTGCTATCTATTAAGGTTTCATATTAACGGTTGGCTCGTACTGGTGTTACGTCTCTTTAGAAAAATCGCACAGTCTCTCTACTGTATCACATGGTATAAGACTTGAATTCACGGATCCAAAAATCGAAACACTATGATTGCAGGATAGAATTGACCGTTGTCACATGTCTATAGGGTTCCGATTATTTGAAAAGTTTGAATAAGAGCCTTCCAAATGGACGAAAATAAAGCTTCTCCAAACACCTTTCGAAAAAATCACAGACCCTCCCCAGCGTTTAAAGCTCTCGGATAATAGATCTAAACATATAAGACAATGGTACTAGTAGCTTGGTACTCCTTAAACGCTCAGAGGTGTTGGGGTGAATTTAGCGACTTGTCTTTGGCTAACTGATTATCGAGCGTTGAAGCACGTGTCGAGCAAGCCGTGCCCGATCGATGCACACGTAGTGATCTGGGGGTCATAGACTCGCCTCGAGTAACTCTATGATAGCTGGTCCAGCTACACTGTACCATGGTACTAGTACCTGGTACCAGTACGTAGCCACTGGTGAGACGGTTCAGAGCTTTGTGTGCGTTCTACTACCGTAGCTACCGATAACGGGCAGTGTTACTAGAGCCATTGTGCGTTCTCATTGTATGCATACTAGTACAGCGTACTATTAATAGTACTTGCTGGCGAATGGGATTTGTCGCTGATTGATGGGCACTTAGGACTTCACGCGCCGAGTGCCTTCCGCTCACATTTTTATTTGTCAACACCAACAACAACAACGGAATGAATCGGAATGCATGTAAGGTGCCGACGGTCGATCGACTGCATGCCACCTGCCACCTGCCACCGTACAGTAAGGAAGAACCAAAACGACAGCCAACGAACAGTGCGTACAGCGTACTAGTACCGTCTACCGTACTAGTACTAGTATTGGGGGCTAAAGAATGTTCAACTATGGTGCCGGAACAAGCGCCTTTTCGAACCAGAGCTGCTCTGAAACAAAAGAGCTCTTCAATAGCGGTATGGCCATGGGTGCACCAGCACCGTCGATTGATCTGTCTGATCCAACGGCATTCGATCTGGAAGGGATTGCTGGAATGTACGACATTGACATGTCAACGACAGACACGACCTTCAATTCCCGTGGCTATGCGACGACAGATACGGAAGAGACTGAGATCAGCTTCTTGCAGCAAAGTCCTGCCAGTAGATCTACTGGTACTGGAACTCGTACTGGTGCTGTCAGATCGAAGAACATGCCCGTGCCATTGCTTCAACGCGGCCACAATCTCTTACGGAAGAAACACATGTCTCCTTCGGCCATACTGTCCTCCTTACGTTCGACTTCGAGCACTGTAGCTTCATCTGTCAGAACGCACCAAAGAAATTTTAAGGAGGTCAAGTCTACTAGATCTACTACTAGTATAGACTCTGATCGAAGTCTCGCGGCCAGAATACCGTATCTTGCCAGAGCAAGACAAAGACAGCAGCAGCAACAGCAGCAAAAGCAAAAGCAACGACAACACACAACAACAACAGCAGCAACAAAAAATGCAAGACAATTGTTGAAACAACGCCTGGCTCAGAGTCGAAGGGAATTAGGAAACAACACTACCAGTACCACTACCGGTACGGATCACGATGATGGGGACAGTACCGGTACCGGTACTAGTAGGATATCTGGCTTGCCAACCTTTCAACGCACTCAGGAACCTATCAATACCTTCAGCTCCGACAGCTCCTGGAATGTAGAAGATGAAATCAGGTTGCAGCGACTCACGCAGGAGTTACGACCCGCGACTCATCAGCACCATCATCAGCAGGCACCACTACTAGTAGAACAAAGAGATGGGGATGACACTATCACAACAGAGGGATCGCGACAACACATGCTCCGTGGGGTTTTCAGTGAGCTAACACTGGACGAAGACGCGACACTGGGATCAACCGAAATACACCCTACTAGTACCGGTACCGGTACGCGAACAATACAAACAAAGCTGGCAACCATGACGAATGGCCGATACTTCCCTGGTATTAATACCGGTAGCACTCAAGCGTCTCATCGGTCGCAAGCTACTAGTAACATACCGACAACCTCGAAATCGCCACTAGTGAACCCTTTCAACAACAAGGTCAAGCCAAAGATGACCTTCTCTTTAAGACCATACGAGAACTCACCCAGATCCACAGGCTCTCAAAGATTCGCCACTCCGCAGACACACAACAGGTCCGCACGAAAACAACAAGTGAACGAGGGACAGGGACAGGGACAGGGACAGGGAGGCGACACGAAACACTCTGCATCAACGAGACATTACCCTCCACCGGTTGCACACACTTTCGAGTCACGACACAGACTTCCTCCCACCAGACAGGACCCTCCCTCAAATAATGCCGCTTCTCGACTTCGACTCAAAAGCAACACAAAACAGCATCCACCCGCGAGACGGGACTCTCCGCAAAAGGCGTACTCCTCTACTATTAATAGCAGAAACAACCACAAGCCTTCAGATGAGCGACCACCACCGTCCTCTAGAGATCCATCGCCGGCCGAGCTGTCTCATTTGATATCGAATCGACTCAATCAACTAACACGGTTGTATCAGGAACGAAAAAGGGTCAACAAGGAAAGAGCTACTGGCAGCGTCGCGACCAGATCCTCTGCGGGCTCTTACGCTTACACTGAAGGAACACGCAACAAGCAGACTGAGGAATCTACCAGAGATCATTCGGACGTATCGCACATATCTGCTAAAAACAATGCAACAAGGAAAAAACGTCAAGTTCATGTCGAAGAGGCCAGCGAGGTTGTAGAGATCATCAGGGTACCATCAGTTGCTACACATCTGAGTGACTTGCCGGACTCGCCTGCCAGTGACTACAAAGTTGAACAGGTGACTCAACAAGAACAAGAATATCCAGACGATGTTGATGATGCGGAGAGTAACGGCGTATGGCCAAAGGGAAGAGGGGGCAGCGAAGAGGGGGGGGAGGAGGAGGAGTGGGAAGTGGAGGATGAGGGGGGTGACGAAGAAGAAGAGGAGGAGGAATTCGAAGACCATCATATGACCATCGAGCAAGAAGAAGAAGAAGAGCTGGAAGCCAACCAGTTCCAAACAAACATACCACACGTACCATCTTCTGGGCTCAGGAGTCCCCCAACCATTGTCCGCAGGATACCAAAGAGTAGCCCGGCTAGCGCTGCTGAAGCTGACGCTTCGATTACCGTCTCCACAGGGTCTAGATCTCTGGATTTGTTTGAGCCCACAGTTGACGAAAGGGAGCAAGGCAAATATCTATTTGAGCCCGCAGTGAGTGAAAGAGAACAAAGCAACTATGCGGTGCAATCGTTTGCTGCCCTTCGTGGTCATGGACATTCTGCATTTGTCCCGGTGATGTCAGCGCCTGTTATGGAGCCTATACACCGACACGGGTTCCATACGTTGAATGGGCTCGGACATTCAATTCAGCCAACCAACCCGTTTGATTTGATATCACCTATTACGGCAAACACCGACCCGTTACTTCCAAACCATCATCCTGGTATAAGCCCAATCAGGAAACACCATCAACATCAACAGACGTATTCTATCGTGCAAAACGCAGAAAACCAAACCACACGAAGCAAACATTTCACATTTGACACACAACATGACAACATCTTGGACGGATCCGAGTTTCAGCAAGCCTTCGATCAAGAATTGTTACCACAAGACCCTCCTATTGTTCAAAGCAGAAATCAAATCCTGGAGAATATCAGACAAGACATCGAGCAACTAACGGAGACAGCGACGAATCTGGATATCGCGTCACAAAGAACGGATGCCATGACGACCATATCTTCTATTCAAGGAACGAGCTACAGCAAAGACCCGCCCAACGACACATCTACTGCGGAGGAACTAGCATCACAATACAGTGGCCAGGAGAGTGAACATATGGTGTCACGTAGCCAACAAAGCGAAGAACAAAGCGAAGAACAACGTGAAGGACAAAGCCCGCATGTTCCCGTCCAAACTCCAGATCCTGTTGGAGACGCAGAGAAGATTAAGTCAGAAGTCTCTGATGAAGCAGCCTCCGGCAAAAGCGGAAGAGAAGCATGGTATCCTAAGGAAGATGAACACCCTATTGTTGTCGAGAAAGAGAGCAAGCACGAACTTCAAAAGCTCAGAGATGCACTACAGCGAATTCTTCAGATGGAACCTCGAATTCGGCGCGAGATGGAAATAGATGATCTTCTACAGAACGATAAGCCTACTGAGGAGGCTTTAACGCAAGTACTTTCCGACCTAGTCGAGGAGAACGATCCCAAGATTGAACCTGGAGACGAATGCAACAAAGATGACCCGGAGGGTGTGATGGCGGCCCAGCTGAGCCAAATATCAACCCGATTGAAGCAAATGCGAGAAACCAAAGGAAGGCAAGACCCTGAGGAGCAGCATACCCCTGAACGAGGAGGAAAGCGCATGCAAGAACCTGAAGGTGAAACTACTATTTCAAGAAGCAAGCATGTTTTGAAGAGACCCTCTACACCAGGCACAAGGCTCGATGAGATTTCCAAGAAGGATACTAACCAGTCCGTTCGATCAGCAAACGGCATGGGTGCTAAGGATAACTTGTCCACGAAGGAAACCGACGATAGCCCCGCGATTTCAGGTTCCCCAGTTCAGCAAGATCTACGCAACTCCCCACCCCAGCAAGACCACCACCACAACATGAATACAGAGAGAAGGAAAGAGCCAAGAGACACAGGCAGACCACGATCCTCTCTTAGTGACCTTTTTGCATCCGTTGGCGGAAAAAAGCCGGCATCAGCCAAAGTCAGGCCCCCGCCATCTTCAGGAGATGGTGCGAGTCAATCGAGGCCCATTGTAGTGCCGGATGATAGGCGAAATGATTCAGCTGCCATTCATGAGCCACGCGACCTCTTTCACAAAGTAGGAGGCTACTACACTAAAGCTCGCTATTACACACCGGCTCGTCCCGATACACGCGACGGCGTTGAAGCACTTCTCGATTATGATGCCCACGAGACATACCACAAGCACAAAAAGTACCAAGAAGAAATAACCTTTGTGAATGAAAGGGATGAAGGTATCAGGTTAATCGACAACCGACGGGATGACTGGGCCGAAGACGCTGAGCATCGCGCCGACAAGGAATACCGCGAGGGCCTCTCGCTTACAATTGCTTCTTTCAGAGAAGACGACTCTCGCAATGATGTTAGAGACGCCAACTACTACCGAAGAAGCAACGGCAGCGGCCAGTGGGTGGGTCTCAACGCTCGGAAGCAGGAACGCCCGTACCGAGAAACGGAAGAAAACAAGATGTCAACAAAGGTTGATACTGAGGGATCAGAACAACAGTCATTGAGTTTCTATCACGTATCAAATAGGGATTTCTCAGGTCAAACGATCGATACTGTGGTTGGTGACAAATCTCTCAGTTTACGTTCAACGCTGGCTCGTGGCCCCGACACCATGCTCCAAAAAAGAATCCCTTCAATTATTTTTGCCTCCAATCAAGAGCCAAATGACCACCACAGCGGGGAAGGTGGCAACCCAAAAGCTGAAGGAACAACGCCAAAGCATTCCACGCGTGGGCAAGATGGCTCGGAGAAACAAGATCGTGAGAATGTAGAAATGGAAGAGGCTGTACTTCAGTTGAAAACCAAAAGGATAAGCTCGTCAAACTACAGAAAGATCATGTTGGGCTTGCGCAGGATAAAAATTGTGGAACCCCCAAATGGTGAGGCTCAATCCGAGGACTCATCAATCGAGAAGTCCTTCTTCAAGAAGGAGCATGTGACCTCCCATGAATTCGATCGCGTGGTCCAAGCGCTTAGCGAGGCTCAAGTGGTCAAGTCGCCGACGCATGATGGGGGGGACACATCGAGTCCATCAAACAACGATGTTTCAAATGTTCCAGTAGTCAACGAGAAAGTCGCCAAGGATCCCCGTCCTGGGACCGCAAGAAATCCATCAACAGACACCGAGAGTGACGAACGATGTCGCAGAGATCCTCCTGAAATCGCCGCATCGGAAACCATGGATACTACAATGGGCATAAAAGGAGTTCGTGCAAAGAATGACCGAAAAGTAGAATCGAAATCAAGCTACGAGGATAGTTCTCAGGTTCCTCCCCAGGCTTTGAAGAGCCAAGGACGCGGAAAAAACAAGAACAACCTAGTTGCACACAATCACGACAAGAAGAAGCGTGCGTATGATGCCGGAGGGCACAAAGTGTCGCGCGCGAGCTTTTCAGGACACCGCAAGTTGGGCTTCCAACGAAATGCCCTTGATCCATCGCAGGGTAGCTTGTCTACTAGTGTGCATACTGGACGACGGAGTGATGGGATTCCACGGCGTATCCAGCTGGAACCGGCGACACCTACCAGTTCGCCTGAAAAGCCTAGTCGTATGGATCGAGCAAGACGAGACCGCGATGACCCATCAGAGAATGGATTCATGGTTTCGAGTTCTAGAAAGAGTCCTTCTTCTTCTTATCTCGCTTGGAGAAAGGAAATAAGTGTGAAGGAGGTCTCTCTACCACCGCCGCCCACTCCAACAACGAAAACCAAGCACAACGTAGTCTCCCAAATCATGTCCATCGGTCTCGGTCGAAAAGAGCAAACGCTTCAGAGTCGACTGGAGCCTGTGCAACATCATAAAGTGTCGTCAAGGGAAGCTCGAGACCCGCCGACCAAAACTGAAATAGTCCTACCTTCAGCGTCGCCGACAACAGTACCCTCCTCAGACTATGCAAAGATCGGCAATGATCCTCCTCTGCGACACAAAGAGTCAACGGACCCTCCATGCCTCGTAGTACGTACAAGCAGCAGGCTTCACCCCTCTGACTCTTCTGTGTCTTCGCCAATGGCGCGCAAGGCGATGGCTGCAATGGATAGAAAGAAGCAGTTTGCTTCTTCGTCGGCCTCTCCGACTGGAGTATCGTCAGGTTCATCTCAGGTTTGGACAAAAAACGCAAACGAGGCAAGTAGCCATGTAGACGAAAATGAACCGATTGCAACGAATGAAGAACCAGTCCATTCTCAAACACAGTATGAAGACTTGCAACATCTAAGGCCGGATATCTTTCTTCCCGACGTGACGAAAGAGCAACACACTAAAATCGAAGAGAAAGGCCAAGATGATCTCCCAAAGACTAGCGCAGAGGGGGCTACACCTCGAAAAGGAATTGGCAAACCCTGGAATGGGACGATTCCAGATAGAATGCGGTTTTGGATCAGAGACGGGAAGGATTCGGCGCCAACAGCCTCATCAGGAAACATGGAGTCGAAACGACTGCAGACAAAAAGAGAGACTCGGCAAGTTGCCAAAAATGATAACCCGATCGAACCTCGACCATCCACACCAAAGTCAAAATCTTCAATAACGAAAAAGGCAGAGTTTGAATTGACGCAAATAACCAAGTCGTTGTTGGCATTGCAGGGCCTTCATCAAAAAGCAGTGTTGGAGACGTCACCAAATCCGGAGGATGCTTCAAAAGAGGATTATATAATTGACACACCGTCGTGGATGGAGAAATCGCTGTCCGACCTTAGTTCTCGCGTGAATGAGATTCGAGAGCACGAGGCGCTGGCTGCAAAGTCCTTCCTCAAGGACAGCGCGGGCCAAGGCGTGCGCCCTTCTCCTGTTGAAGAGTATATCTCCAAGGACGAAGAGAAATCATCCAGTCCGATGAGACCGAAAGAGGTAACAACGGCAACCCAGACCTCCAAACGACCTAATGAGACGCCTCGGAAGATTGCGATCTCGAAATCAACACGGTTGAAACAAAACTCAACAGTCACCAAAGACAGCCGTCCTAGAGATGTTATGGACAGCCGATCATCCCAAGGATTAATTTCCCAGCTTGTGAGCTCATCAATACAAACAGAAAGCTCCAAAGTGAAGAAACGTGTCGTTTCCGATATCCTACCAATAAGACAAGACCCCCCTGTCGACTACCAAACGAGGCCTGATAACTCCCCAAAAACTGCGAAAACTCGTCGCGGTCACGATATTGACGATAGCAACACCACTAGTACACCGTCCGAAGAAGAACAGGAATCCAGCAGTGACAACCAGCGCAACACACGGAATGGGTTCAAAAGCGGCGAAGAACAGCTCGAACGAAGCTATGGAGGCACAATGTCGCCAGAGGAACAGCCAGCAAGCAGCGACAACAACGCCAACTCAAGAGCAAAGGGAATACCAAAACATCTGAAGAGCAAAGCCTCGTTGTCTCAATTACGGAACATACGGATCAGCCGTGGCTACCGCGAGGCTCGCAGTCAGTCACCTTCGAAACGTGAACCGAAACATCAGGATAGACAGAGTCCAAAAACAAAAACGACGCCAATAAGGGGAAACCGGACGAAAGAAACTATTCAACCTGACAACTTCGAAAGCCATCCGCACAAGACCAAGGCTTTGTCCTCGTCAGACGAACAGCGTCAGCAGCATCCTCGTGATTCTCCAAGAAGCTCCACGCCTAAGAAAACATCGGTGACCGAGAACAAGATGGAAAGCCGGCCCAAGACACCCCTCAAGTCGAAACTTGTATCCAATCGACGTCGAAAGACAATGACGTACACTCAAGCTTCTCCAAGCTCAGATTGTTCCGATGAGGAACATTCGACCGGGTCGGACTCTGAAGAGTCGTCAGAGGAGGACATGTCCAAAACCAAGGAGTCACGAAATATTCAAAGGAAGCGGAGCCCCGCGCCCATCTCGAAGCCAATGCTCCGTTCATCCGAAAACACTAAGAAGTTGGGGGCAACGTCCAGAGGAATGCCAGAGGTCGCAAAAGAAAGCCCCAATTCGAAAGAAAAGGAAAGGGGGGCGAAACCGGCTCAAGCACAAGAACGAAAGCCGCAGATGAACCTCAGGAAACCTTCGTCGGTTTCCCACTACACAAACGAGAGCACCGTAACGGGAACAGGAACCTCGTCAGCGATCTCCAGAAGCATTAGACATTCCGCGCCGTCAAATACCACCACGGCCTTCGAAGAAGGGGCCGAAGAGGCTATACCATGGTCAGGAGCAGATGGCGTTGAGATCATATTGAGCTCAGCAACTGAATCATACGAAACATCCGTTGAATCACTGGCCGATCGTAGCCTACTTGATTCAACTACGGAGTCTTCGTCTGAGGAAGACGAAGTGAAGGAAGACGGGGAACGGGGTAGCCGTGAAACAGAGTCAAGCGATTCGCATATTCAATCGGAAGGCGGGCTGGTAGGCATGGTTCTCAGGGTTCGGACGGACGAAGAGCCCCTCGACGAGGACGAAGAGCCCACAGATACTCACGACGATGACGAAGCATTCGTCTCACCGTTTGATTTCGCTAACTTCCCAAGCGACTCGGATAAGCAAAAAGGGGGGACTGGGAAGGGACAAACGAGCGGCAATAGACGGCCGGCGAATGCTAGCGGTAGCAACTCGCAAATGTCCACTCCACACGACAAGACCTGTTCAGACACAACTGATTCAGTTCGAAATTTGGGAGACCTCTACCGACAAAGCTTCCAGGACAGTCCAGGTGATCAACGGACCCGCCAAAGTCCAGCAACAAGAAGATGTGTGGCCCAGTCCAACAATTGCCAAGCGAAAGTGGATCGTTTCAAACGCAAGCTGGAATCCGCGTCAAAGTATTCGATCGTTGGTAAAGAAATTGTGCACAATTCTGACAAGCAGTTCAGGTACGCAAAGCAGCCGGTGTCTGACTAAAGCACTGGTCTTTGTCCCGTTTTCTCACACAATGACGCTTCTCCATGTTTGTCACAGAGAGAGACTCAATCAGTCCAAGCAACATGGCAAACCGGTTTTGTACCCATACGGTGACAAGCGAAAGCATCAACAGCAGCAAGATGCCAAGAGGGACCCAGATGCAACTCCCCGAGTGGTCAAAGACTCAAAGCAGAAACCAGCCCCTGAGGCTGATTCGAACGCGGGTGAAACACAAACCGAGGAAGGCCACGTTAGCCGAATTCCGTCTCTGGAGACTACGGATAGCTCCGAGTTGTTGGGAGACCAGTATATTGATGGCGACCACACCGGTCAAGACAAGTTACATCAACGGATCAAGGTTGTTAGGGAAGACATTGACAACTTGAGGTCACGACTCATCCAAACAACTGGAGCAAAATCATCGAGCGCTCCAAAATCATCCCCCAAGCCAACTTCTCCTAAGATATCCTCTAGCAAGCAAGCACCCCCCAAGTTATCCTCTTCCAAGCAAGCATCTCCGAAGTTGTCCTCTTCCAAGCAGGCATCTCCAAAGCCACCAAAGCAGTCGCCTTCGCAAGGAAAGAAACCCAGTGTACTTCACTTGGATATGAGCAGAAAGGAGCAACCGCCATTGCTGCGCATGCCAGACCCAGACGCTTCCACCAACCCAGGGCTGCACGACTCCCAGACTGACTCGTACAGTCTACCAACTTGCTTTGAACCAAAGCGCAGCGGTAGCGGTGTCCGAAGCGGTACCGGCGTCCTACAGAAAGCTGGATCGAACCCCAGCAACAATGTCTCCTTTACAGGTTCTGGTGACTCGCGACATCATGGCGACCTTAAAAAGCAAGAAATGGACATTGTCCAAGCCGCTGCACGCGCGGAACAGAGGGTAAAGGAAGGCCTTGAGAAGATGAAACGAGGTTTGGCAGACAACAAGCGCGTGAAACTAAGCATGGAAAAGCAACGAAAACTGCAGGCATCCGAGTCTCCAAAAGCTCAGAAACACGGGACACCTACCCTGTTCGGCTTTGATTTGTTCTCGTGGCTCCCCAAGTAAATGATTTGATTTGAGCAAAGGAAGGAACCAATTCAAAGGAAACCACCAGTCCATCGACAGAGCCGCTAATGTAGACGTAGAAATGAAACAATCGCTGGTCCTGGTATCACAGAAGGAACGGGGCGGGGAAGCCAGGATCAGACGACAGCATCTAGCATTGTACTATAGAACCGTATCACAACTACTTTGTTTTATGCCGTAACTTGAGTAACGCTACGAATCGAATCGAATCGAACCGGGCAACTGCAAAAATCATATGGCATATGACACACATTGCTGCCGGTATGCTCTGAGCTTGCAACCCATTGCATACCGGTACCACCGTACCACCGGAGATACGGTAGTCCACCTTGCCATTCCAAGCAAGACCATCCTGCTTTGGTTGCGTTCCGGACAGAACGAATCGAATCAATCGAATTGAATCGAATAAGCAATCGAATCGAATCCGAAGACTGAACAATCATTCAGTCACGTTAGCTTACGTGCGGGCGCTGGCTGGCACTTATGCTATCTTCAGTTACGTATATAGAATGATAACCAGCAGCGATTGCAAGGCACGTTCTTTCCCGCCGTCACATTTTGTTGCTTTCTCGCCAATTTTCTTCCCGCAGCATTCGGAGCTGTCGCTCGATCGCTCGGGGAAGAGAGCCTCACCAATTGGATGGATTAAATCGGTGGCTGCCTTTGGCCAAGAACGAAAGGAGCTAGCACACAGGAGTCGGCTAAAGCAGTCCAGACCTTCGAAGCTTGGCAAAGACAAGACAAGACAAAGAGGAACGAGGCTTGTTCTAGTGTACGGCAACACAGTCGGAGTTCCGTTGTTGCAGGTTTTCTGCGTCTGCGTCCGCGTCTGCGTCGGTCGACCATGGAAGCGCTGAGTCGTATTGGAGAGTTTTTCTTCGACGATGGCCATGTGAGTGAGGAAGAGCGGCTTCGGGTCTACCAAGCGTACAAGGAGAAGATGCGTGCTCAGCAGCAGCAGCAGCAGAACCAGAACCAGCCAATAAGGAACGCAAAGAGCCAAATGAGCGCTACGAGCCCCAGCTGTAGGATCGCTAAGAGTCCAACCGCTGGCAGCAAACTTTCTTCGCCAGCCTCAAGCCCCAAGCCAAAGGCGAGTCAGACACCAAAAGCAAAGCCAAAAGCAAAGGGCCCGACTGCCACCACGACACCCACAAAATCGGTGCCCAAAAAGATCGAAACGTTGACCAAAGCGAGCAAAGGCACCGGCGTAAGCTCAGGACCTACTCGATCTCATACCACTAAGACAACCAACACTCATACAACTGGAACTGGCACTGGCACTGGCACTGGAACTTTCACCGGCACCGGTACCGGCACCGGCGCTAGTTCGAACCAACTCTCTAGTGCCCGTGAAACAGATGCGTCGGGAGAAACTCCCAGTGAAAGCTCTTCTTCGGAAGACCTAGAATCGATGATCCCGGAAACAGTCTGCGCCGATCTGTCCATGCGATCGGTTTCTTCTAGAAGTGTCATTTCAGAGTCGGCGACAGGCTCAGGCAGCTCCAAAAGTCAAAGGGATGAATCCAACAATGCGTCCAAATCTGGCTCCAAAAGGCCAGGGACCAAGACAGATACCACTGGAACTGGACGTGCTTCTGCATCTAGAACTGGGTCTGTCTCAGTCACAGCCTCTGCATCTGCATCTGCATCTGCATCTGTTTCTAAGTCCGGATCTGCTTCGGCCTCGCGCTCTAGAGCTGGATCAGCTTCGGGCTCTAGAACTGCGTCTGCACATGATATCACAGGCACTGGCTCAGAAGGTGAAGCTTCCCATGATGAAGCTTCCCACGATGAAGACGAGTCAGAGTCAGCCCACGAACAGCTCTCAAAGAACGGAAAAGGGCATCCAGCAACCAAAAGGGGACAGAACAGAAGTCACTTTGGTCTGAGATTTCTCAGCTTCCGCTTAGGAAACAGGTCCGCTTCAACTACCACAAGGCAAGAAACAATAACCGAAACGGGAACTCTTTTCGATGAACAGGGGACTTTCGAACGACGGATGGTAGATCAGCTCTTAGAGTATATCAGCTCGGGAGATGACATTGATGATGAGACGACGACGACGACGACGACGACGACGACGACGACGAATCCGTCGACAGTCGGTCCACGGAATCGTCTCACGAATCCAACTCTCATACCAATGCATCCTCGCTCCTGCAGTCCCATACTACCAGCAACTATGACAGATCCAGGTCAAGAGGTACCGTATTTAGTGAAAGTACCACCGCCACAGAACTTGGCAACTCGTTGGGACGAAAGCCCTCCGGAAAGTCCAACAAATCGAATGTCAGCTCTTTGGACAGAAAACGATCCGCAAGATCTAACAATACTGATGGCAACGCAGGAACTGTTTCCTTCCAGGTTACTCCCGCTGTTTCCCAAACCGGTTTCGAGGCCAAGAAGAAAGGAGTACCCAGTGTCACTTCGTCGGCTGTCTTTAGCGGTCTTTCATCAGCTGTCGGCACAAAGTCTAAGAAAAATCCTACTTCACCAGTAACCCTTAAGTCAGCTAAATCCTTCAGGACGTGGAATTCCAAGTCTACAGAAGGCATGCCCAAGGCTGTTCATGGGTGGATCGAAGAGGAAGAGGAAGCGGACGGCTTAGGCGGTAGAATCGAGCTTGCCGTTACCTATACTCCAGAGGACGGCGACGGCAAGGGCAATCGTTCACCTACTTCTCATCCAACCCCAGGGTCGCCCATGTCAGCTAAAGGCGCAATGGATTCCACAAGAGTCTCGGAACCAGAACCTGTCGAAGCCAACCCAACCATGGAAACACACGATACCCAGAAGCGATCCATAGCATCTATGTTTCGCAGAAAGACACTACCTGCTCATCTGCCAAAAGCTACCGCTGGCTCAAATGTGCCGCGACGAAGCACTCCGCAGTCCATCAAGAAGGCTGACATCAGAAGCGATGCTCACGATACACAACAAAAGCAACTTGAAGTGGGAGAGGGTGCTCCTGATGTTGTCAACGACAAATTGGCTGCCATGTCATCACCGATACCGAAATCTGTGCCATCCAACGGCATTGTAGTGGACCCGCTAAACATCAAGAAGAGCGCTGACGCATCGCAAGGATTTGGGCATTTCTTCAATTCAAACCTGGCCCCGAAAGAACCTGATGATGCCCAAGGTTCCGCGGCCGAGCGTCATGGCGTGTCTTCGCCAGGCGCAGCTACTCAAATGAGAGGACTATTGATGGATGATGCTATGGAAAAGGCTCGAATCGCACCTCAGGTTCCAATCCCCCAAGCCATCAACCTATCAAGAATTCCAGCAACTCCAGAAACCACCAACCTATTGAACCTGAACCTCCCGGAACGGCCACCGAGGTTTCCGACATCGCTGTCCAAGCCAGATAGGGAACATTCCAATGTATCCCATCCTATGGTGAAGAGAGGAATCACCGTTACCACGACTTACTCCATGGAGCCTTCTGAGTCTGCAAATGTACAGGAATACATAGAAGTCACGTACGACTCGGATGAGTTAGAATCTTCCAAGGAATTGATTACCTTATCTGTAACCTCTCCCCAAAATGCAGAAGCTGACGAGCCCCATATCGAAGAAGTCCCCAGGGATACTGACGGCGTTTACGCTGGCACCAGCCCCAAGCCTGTTCACTCGGTTGACGAAAAAAGGCAAATCCCGTCTCCACGAACGCGAAAGGGTTTCTTCGGAAGGCGATTGTTGCAGCGTAAGAAGCACGAGAAGGTTGAAAAGGTTGATGCATTGTCTACCACCGTCAATGAAACTGTCAATGAAACTGTCACGAGACATACCTTGTCTAGCCACAACGACCAACCGCGACACGTCATTGGAGAGACAAGCGTATTTGGAGAGGACGAAATCCTATCATCGATAAATGACAGCAAAGTCAGCCTTGAACAAACCAAGACGAGAGCGAGCAGGTCAAGAGCAAGCTCCAAGAAAAGTTCTAAGAAACGCTCCAGCTCTGTCCCATCCAAGCAGGGTCTGGCGTTCAATGGTTTCATGCAAACACTTCAGTTGCATGCACAAGGTGACCCTCTTGAAAATATCGCTAATGGGAATCTAGTTGCAGATCCGACAGCGACTGTCCCTGATGATGAGAACACTCAAACATCCGGCAAGCCAGTAGTTGAACCTCAGGCACAGTCCACCTTGGAGTCACCAAGAAGGATACGGTTCCCTTTCTTCAATCGTTCTAGAACAAAGGGAAGTGAGAATCCCGTTGCCGCTTCTCCAAGGCCACCTGGAATAGACGTCGCTGATGTACGTGGCGGTCAGAGTCCTCGAAGGAGATGGGTGCGATCTTTCAGTCTACCACGAACAAAACGCGAAAAGAGGCAGGCCTTTGACGCAGGCAACGAGCACACCTTCAATGACCACGAGGAGGACATTTTGACTCCTCTCGAACGACGAAGACTGCCATCCACACTACCACGGAATACGCGTAAGAAAAAGGCCAGCGACTCTGAAGATCCCCTAAGAGCACAAGGCACCCCGAGCGCGTACAGCGAAGGCCACAAGAAGGCTCCATTTGATGCCAACCCATGGCGCAGCGGACACCCCAATTATGCAGAGATGCGAAGTCCTCGTCTGGATGGAACCAATCAAACCGTAGACGGAGATAGATCCAACGCGGCTCTCTCAAACGGTAACACGTCTCAGAAGTCTCTGCTGTCTCAATTGAAGAGAGGAAACCTGACTACCTCAGAACGAGCACTGCTTAAGAAAGCTCTTGCAAAGAAGTTGGAAGAAAAGAAAAGAAGTCAGATCGAGAAAGAACGACTGTCACTCGAGAAGGGCGAGGTTGATTCTCCGCCTGACATGCCCCTGCCCATTGATAAGCCACAAGCGGAGCCTACCAGCGAACAAGCCCCAATGCAAGATGACACTGAAGAGATTAAAAAGAAGAAAGGTCTGAAAAGGCTAAAGTCAGGCTTGATGGGGATTCTGCGACGGAAGAGCAAGAAAGCGCCAGAAGAACCAGTTCGAGAAATGACGTCTGTTCACGAATCGCAACGGAACGAGGCTGTGGATGTCATCACCGAGAACCAAGAGGGATTCCTTCAACCAGTTCAACCTGAAGAAGATGTGGGCCCGGGCCCACTCGTTCCGCTTGGCATTGGAGCAGACATCACTTTCCTAATGCAACACCAGATGATGCTGCAATCGAAGAATCCCACATGGAAGCAACCGGTTCCACGTGGAAAAGGCAGCGTCGCTAATCGATTCAGTGCCACCGAGACTTTGACTGGAGCCAGCGCCAGCCTTGAGAATGAAACTCAAACAGCCAAGCTCCATCGGGTATTGGGCCGAAGAGAGGAGGAAAAGCGTGTGCAGAAAGGCGAAAGCAATAGCATCCTTGACGTGCGAGCCCCCAAGGTGAAAAAGCAACTGAAGGTGATCAAACAGGTTATTTCCCCTGAACCATCTTCGTCTGTGTCTTCTTCTCAAGACGACGACGACGACGAGTCCGACTCCTCGAACGATGGTGAAGAAAAAGGAGACAATACGCTGGCAAACACTGGCAGTGGTGAAAACACAACCGCCTACAGTGTCCAAAATCAACGAGTGCTGGAAACCTTGAGAATGCTGCATGCGGTAAAGAAACGAAAGAAGCGACAAGAACGGATTTCTGTAAGTTTCAAGGCCTAGGGATACCGTTGACCTTTGCTTGTTCTTGTTTTGAATCTCCGTTTAGGGAACAACTCACAGCAGGTTCTTTGTATTTGTTTTCAGCGCATGGAAAGGGTTACCGACTGCAATGCTTTTATGGACCCCCTGATCGACGGAATTGAAGAGGCAGCTTGCGGAGGACATTACTAGCTCAAGACTTGCATCCGTTTACAGTTACAGACAGAATGCATAGTTAGATCCCTCTAACTTCAAGTTGCTGCATTGTTGAACAATGGCCGCAACAACAGAGAGCTACAGATTCGATTCGCATTCCAATTCCCTCCAACCTATGTACCGGTAGCTGCGAAGCGAACATCCACGCATGTGCACAGCGCAAAGTGCTTGTCCATCTAACGTATTATTAGCAAAATATTACCGTACCACCTTGGATGATGATTTGTGTTTTTCGCGGCAAGCTATTCTGGACTATTACGAACGTACCCTTGTCTGACCATGGTACGTACTATGGTCCTATCCTGTCAAGGTAGCAGGTGTTTGCCAGAGCCCAGGTAGTGCAGTCCTCATTTCTTCCACGACTTCAACACAAAGATCCACGGCCGGATCATCTTCAATGGGAGCATCACCAGGCTTGGTCAGTTCCGACGCATCGGCACCGGCACCGGCACCATTGGAAGTCGCAGTACTGGTAGCAGTATCGGAGCGACTGCTCTGTTTTCTTCCTTTCCCTGCGACGAGTATGGTTTTGAGGCCCAGTAGTTTTGCTTTGCGTATGTTTTTCATGCTGTCTTCGACAATGACACACTCATGTGGTTTGACGTTGATCTTGTTACAAACGATTTCAAAGGCTTCCTTTTCTGGTTTGCAGAAAGGGAGGACATCATCCACAGCAAAGAGGGCCTCCTCCCCAAATACTTGCCACAGTCCCAGTTGTTTCAAAACGCGGGTTACGTACTTGCGGGGACCATTGGAAAAAGCAACTAGCTTGAGAGGTGAATCTTGTAGGTCTTTCAAGAATTGTGTCTTTGGGTCTCCTAGTAGGTCAAAGTTAAGATTCGTGGCCCAATACTCCGCCAAATCTTTTGCCTGAAAGGTTGGGGCTCCCTCAGGAAGCTTTCCTTCCTTCTGTGCGACAGTAAGTGCTTTGGCGGTGCTGTGATACTTTTCGAAGTAGAAATCTCGAACCGTCTTGGCAGAAGCGCGGTCAGGGAATCCCAGCTTTTCCACCATGAACAGTTCTGCACCGTCGCCATTGCGGTGGGCTGTGAAACTATATATAAACACCAGAAAACTCGACATTGTCAATCAACAAGCTCATCAAATACAAGCACTGTACGCAATAGCTACTACCGGTACCTGGTAGTAGCTAGCTGTCGTGGTCGAGCAACAGCCAAACGATATCAAGCTCGATTTCGCAACCCAAACTCACCCTGTCCCGACATCATAGAGAGTGTCGTCCACATCAAAGATGAGACAACGTATCGGGCTTGCACTGGTGCATGCTTCTTGCGACATCTTTGTTTCCGTGGACGAACTACTAGACTACTAGACTAGCTAGCTAGGTTGTGATGAGGATCTGGTCGACTGAACCTGTTGTTTTGTTCGAGAATTTTAATTCACTGATTGTGCGGTTATGGCCATGGCTTCGTACTTCGTCCGGAACTTTTCAAAGCTTAGAAGCGGTATCGGTACTCAAAGCAACAGCTTCGTTGGACGACAATAATGCCACCGCACACTCCTTTTCAGTCTTCAACATTCTTATTAAGTCAGCGGGAGCTGCGATACCTCGGCAGAAAGACACATAAAGAAAGAGGATCGTGTTTGAGATTGCATCCTTCTTTCAAGGTAGACCTGGCGACAACACCCGACTTCGTCGTGTGTTGCCGCCCGGTATCATTCCCTCATTATAACCTTCTTTTTATGTAAGCTAGCCCTGGCGACAACACCCGACTTCGTCGTGTGTTGCCGCCCACTATCATTCCCTCATTGTAACCAGCTGTTTTATATTAAGCTAGCATTGGCGTAGCCACGGTCTAACCCATAATTTACAGCTATCATTCGATTGTGTAACTCTAAATTTACAACACCTGCTGGCTTATTGTGTTTTTGTCCTGAGTGCACTAACCTTAAATTACATTGATATATTCCTACCCCTAACTTTTATTGAACCTTCAATTTCCAGTTTTGCCAGCTTACATTATCTCTATCCTTATACCCTGGCTTCACCGGAATAGGGGATCCCACAGACACAAAACGAGGGGATCCCACAGACAGAATATTTGCCAATAAAGGGGTAGAGGACTCAGGCAGTTAACCTGCCGAGGTTATTCGGTTTTTTTCAGCGCTCGTCTCCTGTATTCCTTTGCCTCAGTTTGGATCCTTATGACGAATACGGTACCTGGTACCAGTCAATCAAGCCATTGCAGCCGGCTACCATAGTTACATCAGCGACAGTGGCAGCAGTACCGAACACACTCAGGTTCGACTTTGCTCGCTACACTTCGTTACCGGTACCTCTCATTGGATCCTTATGACGAATACATGCACAACCGAATATTGTCAATCCAGCCATTGTAGCCCGCTACCGTACAGTTACATCGGCGACAGTGTCAACAGTACCGAAAACACTCAGGTTCCGCTTTACTGGCTACACTCTGTTAGTCTACCGGTACCTTGCATTGGATCCTTTTGACGAATACATGCACAACCGACATTGTCAATCCAGCCATCGTAGCTAACTACCGTAGAGTTCATGCATCGATCGGTGACAGTGGCAACAGTACCGAACACACTCAGGTTCGGCTTTGCTCGCTGCACTTGGTTACCTCGCATTGGATTCCTTATGACGAATACATCACAAAACCGAATATTGTTAAATCCAGCCATTGTAGCCGGCTACTGTACAGTTACATCGGCGACAGTGTCAACAGTACCGAACACACTCAGGTCCGCTTTGCTGGCTACACTCCGTTGCTGGTATCTTGCATTGGATCCTTATGACGAATACATGCACAACCGAACATTATGAATCCAGCCATTGTAGCCGGCTGCGGTATAGCTACATCGACGACAATGGCAACAGTACCGAAAACACTCAGTTCCGCTTTACTGGCTACACTCTGTTACCGGTACCTTGCATTGGATCCTTTGACGAATACATGCACACCGAACATTGTCAATCCAGCCATCGTAGCTAGCTCGTAGAGTTCATCATCGATCGGTGACAGTGGCAACAGTACCGAACACACTCAGGTTCGGCTTTGCTCGCTCACTCCGGTACAAGTACCTCGTATTGGATCTTATGACTAATACATGCACAACCGAATACTGTCAATCATATTGATCTATAAGGTGTCTATGTGGTCTATTGGTCGGTAATCGATGATCTATTATCTTACGAGTTATCTATCTATCTTTATCGTACGAAAGAAGCATCGAGGCTCCACCAAGGGACTTGTGCATACAGGAATATGGGTGCCGACACAGGAGTCACCACCAAGACACTAGGAAATAACACTGGAGGGATGAATCCACTCTCCTCTGTGCGTTTCGAGTTGTCGTGTAGCCTCCTCCTCTTGTTTCCTTTTCAAATGACTCGACGACGACTCCTCCGTTCAGGCTATTGGTAGGGCTGGAGTTACAGGCTCCGTAGTGGTAGCCTGCCTATCGTTTGTTCGAAAGGAGTCCTCGACAATGGTATTTCCTCGGCCGTCAGCAGTACAGAGAGAAAACAACAAATAGATATGAGTTTTTTTTCTGTGCTCAACTGCAACGACCGGAGACTTACCATTGTTTTTCAATTGCACCAACTTGGCCGTCACTGGCTCGAGCTTGACTGCTCCGCCATAGGAATTGAATGAGGGATGGTTTTCGAATCTGCACCAGAGAAGGACGGCTTGAGTGAGGCTTGGATAATAGAGATAACAGAGGTGCGATCGATCGATTGATTCGAATAATTAAAACAACTCACCTGTTGACGGCCGAGCTCGCAGTTCTCTCCTGAATACCATAGAAATCCAATGAGGGAGAGAAGTCAGCGCTGTACCTTCAATTAACACTCTTGATGATAGGCTTACCTCATTGCGATCGATTCGATCCTCCTACCGGTACTAGTAGACTAGCTACCACACTGTTGTCGGCCAAGCTTGGATTTCTCTCCTGTTTACCATAGGAATTCAATGAGGGAGAGAAGTCAGTGCTGGGCCTTCAATAATGGACTTTAGCCTTAACCTTAGTAACTTCAACGGTTCTTTTTATCCACGAATCGATCTAAATCTTTCGAAGCACATGACCGTTGATTCTGCAACTGAAGTGCGGCTACTCTAATTTACACAGTAAACGCCGGCAAATCGATTCCAGAGTGCAACTGAGGGGGTAACCAAAAGGTGCGTCGTCTCATTGAGACGTAATAATAAACCCGGCCTCTCTGCATGGTGGTTGAAGCTCCACCACAAGATGACTCCTCTACCCCACCGGTAAAGTCAAGGTTGTGATCGTTCCTTTTTATTGCTGTTATATGTTATACAGAAAGTTAACCTATACAGAAATCTCGCGCATGCGGATTGGTTTCTGAGGAATGCTTGCAGGCGGCGCCAATGGTGGATGGAGACTAATGTTTGCCTCATCAGCGGTATCAAGCGGAGATGGAACTACCGTTGCCACTTTCTGTTGTACCTCTCTTCGCTTAGGAAAAGACTGATAGTCCAGTAAGTCTCTCGAGAACCTTCGCTTGAGTTTTCGGTTGAGTTTTCGCTTGGCAGACTGGATGATCTCTTCTGTCATGGCAAACACTTTCTTTTGCCCGTTAGTCTGCGCTCGTTGCTTCTTGACCAATTCTACTTGCAACTCAGCTTCGATGATTTCATCCAGAGGCACATTGAATTCAATACCAAGCAAGTCTCGTCTGCGTCCACTGGACATTCGACGCAAACCGATGAGCCACGGTGTGTCACTATTAGCGGCAATATAGTCGCTCTTTTGCTTCTCGTATTCGTCAATGTCCAATACGTCCCCCTCTACATAGTCCCATCCAATACCCAAGGGAGGACCTCCATGGGTAACATCAGGGTGATCGCCCACAATGCGTTCGAATTCTCGAATTTGGATAGAACGAAAGCCAACTAAAGGAACGCGTGGTTTGGAGGTTTGCAGCTTTTCTTTTGTCTCTGAGGATGAAATGTCACTGATGGCAAGTGCCATGGGGTGTACTTGATTGTTGCGGTTCATTTTGGTACACGTAGCCGATGCTTTGTTGATATGTTGGTGGTGGTCTTGTGAGCTTTCCATGATCACCAGACACCAGAATAAATTCGTAAGTGTGATTCAGTTCACTCGTGTGGTGTTTCCACTGTGTTCCCTGATTTAGTCGCGGGAACACCAAAGAAACTCATGGTACATGATGTAAATGAGCCATCATGAATCGAATCATGTGAGACCATGAGAGTACGGATTCAGTTCAACATCGCTTATCGCGTGTGCTTTTTCATACTGGTGGTAGCGGGTATGCATAGCAGCCTCCTGCACCAATCCACATCGGAGCGAATGGGTAACACGGACTGCAGTAAGTATCTTTTTATTAGAATGTATCAATGCTAAGGCGAGACAAAAGGTGACTCACTCGACTCAGCCAGTTTGTACATCGCAAAACCTGGTGCTGTACTTTTGTCATTCGTAGTCTTCTTATGTAATTACATGTACAGTACGGTAGCTAGTTTACGCGAGCTGGAAGCCGAGCAAGTACCGGTAGGTCTCTGTGAGTGCTATGCATCCACCCGTAGCAAGCCATGAATAGACGAGCTATGTAAGGGTTAGAGATTGGCCTGGCTAAATACAAAACGCAAATGAGTGCTTCCTTGTGTCACATATGTGTAGCTTCTTCAATTCACTGCGGTATCATCAGGTGGGTACTGGTACCGTACTTGGTATACATGTACACGGTTGATTACTCTGGATACGACGGAGGGGCTGTCGCGACCTTTGGCTTGCCACTGCCACTGCCGGTATTGTTAGCGTTAGCCATGAATCCTCTTGGATTTTGTACCATGGTTCGTACTTCCACCCAGCAATCCGACGATCCAATTCGTTGGTCTTCGGCTCCAGCTTGCTGTTTTCCTGTTCCCTTGAGCACATTGGTGGATTGTAGCTCTGGCAACGAACTTGCCAACAATGCTTCCTGTGCTTCGTGAAATACACTTGACTGGTTGGTTGCATCGCACCATCGAATATCGAGCCCCGACAAGAGTGGAAAATGGCTGTTTTCTTTGGAAGTGGCCAGGAATCGAAGCTGTCCGCCACTCATATGACCTCGAAAGCCGATCTTGGCCCATTGAACGTTGAACGAATTGTTGTGGTTGTCGTTGTGACTGTTTTGTACATGTACTATCTGTTCTTGTACATCTTGGCAATGAAAAGTCAATACCAGAGGAGGTCCTCTCAAATCTTGCTTGGCAGCAGGAAGAGGTCTCATACAAAGTGCCTGTGAATGAGTTGGGAATTGGTAGACTCCCGTTACGGGTCTGTGTAGGTTTGCCAACTTGTGAAGTACAGATGATCCATCTTCATAGGTTGCATCATCGTACATTGTGAATGCAACTTCCTTGAGATAGTTTGAATCAGTGGTACTGGTACTTGCACTTGCACTTGCACTAGGTGAACCTGATGAATCCAATTCCAATTCCAGAATGGGGAGTCCCTGATGCCTGGAAAGCAGTGCTTCCGAAGTAATTTGTCTGTTGAACAAGTGACGAAGTCTGAGGGGCATCAATTGGGAAGGCAAGTGGGAGTTGATGATGCTTCGAGTCTCGGATGAGATTGGATGATTGCCCGTGGTCTTACTACATGTATTGTTAGTAGTGGTATTGGTAGTGGTACTGGTAGTACTAGTAGTGATTCCCAGAAGAGAAAAGGATCCTCCTTGGATCTCCTTTTTGTTATCGTTATCCACAGCCAACCAATGTAGTAGAGTTCCAGATGTAGGGCATTCCGAGACAACGGAGTCCCACTGCATACTGACAGCGGATCCCAACGACGACGCAAACCTGTCATTCAAGTCATCCTGCTGCTCCTGCCCCGTTGACGCACTGAAGGCATCGTCCTCTGCTTGCTCCAATCCAAAGACTGAACCAAGAATCTCTTGAGCCCGGCGTGACGCAGAGGGACTTGGTGATAGCAAGGTCACCACGGGACGACGCATCGTTCTCACTCTCTCTCTCTCTCTCTCGTTGATAGCAGTCTTGACGAGCAGATCTTTGACGATGGTGTTGACCGTTTCCTGTTGGTTTGGTCGATGTCTCACATCTCTTCTTTTGATGTAGCGGTAGGGTTAGAGCTAAAATTCCCATTTTGTGGCGGGTAAAACTCGTTATTCTAATTAGGACATGCATTTGCCAACGTCGACGGATCACTTAGACAGCGCCATCGTTGCCTTTCGTTTGAATGGAGCAATACTAAGTCTTTAGCAATGTGAGCGTTAGCATCCATATTGGTTTGCTCTAAGAAATCATAGCTCGGGTACTAAATGAGGGATAGTGGGCGCGCACCTCCCATCATGCTGGCGGTTCACTTTTGTTCGGTGCTTTTCTACTCTAGCTAGAAGACAGATCGAGTTTAGAGGAGGCTTTCATCACTCTCGCTCGGTGAGATCGAAAAGGTCCACACACACAGCACACAGCACAGCACCAGGAACACCGTACTAGTACCATACCATTCATTCGATAGATCAGACAGATCATCATCAGATCGATCATCACCGCATCAGCATAAGACAGACAAGGAGACGAAGAAGAAGAAGAAGAAGAAGACAAGGAGTCTGTGGGCTGTAGGATAGCCAGAGACGAGTAGAGAGAGAGTAACAGGTCGCTCAGCTTTGACGACCGCCCCATTGTTCCCAGTTCTCGAGACGGCCTCACCATCAAGACTCGAGAGACTTCTTCCCACTCCAGGCAGAGAGGTGTCAGTAGTGGCGGCGTCAGCAACAACAGCAACGCTCAAGGCAGCCACAACGGCCTCTCTGGAGTGTACGGCACGTACACTCACTCCTGGAAGAAGTGGACCAAGAAAATGTCGGGAATGGCATGTGGCGCTGGAATGAGCATGTCCATGAACATGACTGGAAACGACGGTGATTCCACTCCGGCATCGTCCAGCGATACTACTGCTACTGCTAACGGTACTGCTACTACTAGTAGGCTCACTGGAACTGGAAATGGAAATGGCAGCGGCACTAACTCTCACTCAAACCATAGTTCTTCTATTGTACTCAAAAACTCAAACAACACTGTCAACATCTCAATGACGCAGGCCATGACCCACGCTGCAGCCGCTCAACAGCAGGCGCAGGCGCAACTCTTGCGAAAGACCATTGGCACTGCTCGAACTGGATCCACAGAAAGCACTGCTTCGCTCTCGCAAACAAACAGCAGTCAGACACACCTTTCCGCAAACACTGACGCCGGAACCACTGGGGTTCACAAACCACCCAGAGGACATCCCCAGCAACAGCCCTATCCGCATCCAGGAATCCCAGTATCCAGAAGCAGTGGAAGTACCGGTAACCAGTCACTCTACAAACCTGGAAAACAGCACATGACTTCTGCAGGCAGCCAAGAGTTCGACCATGATCACCAGACATTTGCCACTGCCACTACTGCCTCGGCTACTATCTCGTACTCCACGGATGAAGTGGACCACACCAACTCGGATGTCAGTGAAGCTGGAATGGAAGTTGTCATGGACACGGATGTCAGCAGTGGAGATGAACGCAATCTAGAAGAACAGATACTCTCACTCTCCAAACAACCAAGGCTCGCAAACAAACCCAAGGAAGAACCATACAAGAGCCACTCATTCCCTGCTGGAAAACACACATTCACCGTCGATACACGATACGGATTCATCAGGGTCATTGGTAGTGGGGCTTATGGAGTCGTCATTAGTGCCAAGGACACAAAGGGGGATGCCGACGTTGCCATCAAAATGGTACCCAGGGCGTTCCACGACGAAATCGACGCTAAGCGTATATTACGCGAAATCAAACTACTCAAACACTTTCAACATGAAAACATTGTCAGCATTACTGACATGATGCCTCCTTCCGTCAAGTACGTCGAAGACTTTAATGACGTTTACATCGTCACGGACCTCATGGAAACAGACCTTCATCGCATCATCTACTCAAAGCAAAAGCTAAGCATGGATCACGTCCAATACTTTGTATATCAAGTCCTGCGCGGACTCAAATACATTCATTCCTGCAATGTCCTACACAGGGATCTCAAGCCCTCCAATCTTTTGGTCAATTCTAATTGTGATCTCAAGATTTGCGATTTTGGACTCGCCAGGGGAATCCTTGATGATCAAAACACCATGGACGAATCCAACAAGGGATCGCTTCTACTCACCGAGTATGTCGTCACCCGGTGGTACAGAGCGCCCGAAATCATGTTGGCATGTCATGAATACTCAAAACCAATTGATGTCTGGAGTGTTGGATGCATCTTCGCAGAGCTGATCCTTCGAAAGCCATACTTCCCAGGAGATGATTACATTGATCAGGTACGTTGGTGTGCTGATGCAGGCATGCATGCATGCATGCAATTCCTTCCCGACAACATACAAGTTCGACTAACCACCGCGCCTCTCCTCTTCTCAGCTCACTATCATTTCGGAAAAGCTCGGAAAGATAACAGAAGCTGACTTAACTTTTGTCACGTCGGAGAAAGCAAAGCGCTTCATGCGCAAGCTGCCAAACAAGCCACCAGTTCCTTTGAGTCAGCAGTTCCCTTCGGCGTCGTCAGAAGCCCTTGATCTGCTCCGCAAGATGCTCACCGTTCATCCCAAGAAACGCATCACTGTGGAAGCTGCTTTGGCGCACCCATTCTTTTCCCAGCTTCACAGCCCTGAAGATGAACCAGTGTGCGAAAAAGGATCCTTTGACTTTAGCTTTGAGGACGAACATTTGCATAGGAGGCGATTGCAGGAACTGATTTGGGAAGAGGTTGGTGTCTTCCGTCCTTCGGTGCTGCCGGTGGCCCCTTCTCGATCGCACAGTGGTGTGGGCAACTTGGAGTTGTCTTCCAACCGCAATCGAAGTCGGGATCCTTAGAAAGTGCAGCGAGCTCTTGCGCACATCATGGTATTAAGTAAAGGCCATCTTTTAATCGACACAAACACGGTCAAGCGAGATGCCGTGTTTCCTTCATATCAAACAACATGCCGGGTACACCATTCGGAACTACCAGTACCAACACTGCAGCGTTAATCAATTGTGTATTAAATCCTTGTGAAGTTTAAACCAGATCTGCTAGTTTAGTACAATTGAACCTACCGTAGCCTTCGGTTGTGTTGGGGTTGGTTGCCTCCAGTTTTGACAAGGTTGAATAACATGAGATGCTGAAACAGAGCCCATCCATTGCCTTGTGTTGGGGTTCAAGCCAATCAATCAAACCCATTGCTGTAGTCGACGGAAGAGATCATCAGTGAGGGAGTCATCATCTTCTGTCTCCTCTTGTGTTGGGCACACAGCCGTGGCCGACTCGGTTCGAATTGTGCACTCGGCAAACTCATTGACTGCCACCGTAACGTTCTTCTGGAAGATATTGGGAATGGCTTCGTCAACAATCAGCTCTTGGTAAGCAATGACAGCTGCTTCGACCGCCGTATTTATGAGTTCATCTACCCCGGAGTCGAGTACACCCTCGATGACTGGTATTCCGAGCTCTCCCACGCTCACAGACATCTCCGAGACCCCAAATGCTTCCAAGGCAGAAAACAAACACCCAGAGAGGTTTTCTGGGTTGAGAAGGGTTGCGAGTCCAGTGCTCTCTACAACGGATGCTTTCAAGCCCACCAGATAGGAAATGACCACCTCTGTGTCTTCAATGGGCAATGTTACTTCAATAGTCTCCTCAATATTCACGTCGTTGATATCTGCATTGAGGAGAACCGTAGCTTTCACAGAGATGGCTGACACCTCCAATCGGGTACGAAACGTATGCTTTCCAATGATCTCAAGAAGATCCACGTGATCAAAAGAATTGAGACCTTTCACTTCAATTGTCAAGACATCCAGACTGTTGACTGTGAAGAGTTCTTCTTCACCACCACCAAATTGAAGCATGCGCCCCATCAGCAGGCTCTCTGGTACAACTAGTTGCTCTAGGAGGTTTCGATGGCGACGTCGCACGATGGAACACTCGTCTTGATCCGACTGTAGCTGGCGGCGGTCATCGTCTTCGCGACTGTTATCCTCCTCCTCCTCTTGGGTCAAGTCAATAACGAAGGAGCCATCTTCGTCGAGCAAGTTGAGCTCAATGAGTGTATTGATTTGGTATGGCCCCACCACCCCTTGCAGATTATCGACAATGACCGTGATGGCGTAGCCCAGGTCACTGTCTGTAAAGTCAACTAGCTCCTCCTCCGCTTGCAAGTCCTTCTCCAGCTCAAGTGGATCCACAGACCTTGGTCCCCCCAAATAGGGCTCCAACAAGTCTACAACAGAGAGCACAACACCATCCACAACGGATGTGAACTGCGCGACCTGTTCACAGAGAATGTCAGAAATAGTTTCTGTTTCTGAATCGACGATTTCAATCACGAGGTAGTCCAGGTCATTGAGGATGTTGGCCGAGAAGCCTCCATTAGCATCAATATCTTTGATGCCAATGACAGCTTCACATCCTTGAAACGACGAGCTTTCAGGGGGGACCCCTTCCAAGACCACTCCAATTTCGAAATCGTTATTCCGCAAGTTCACGTCAATAGTAAGGTCATCCTCTATATCATATATTCCAAAATCGAACTGAGCCTCAAATTCACAGTCTACATCCAATCCTTCTACCGTGACATCGTACAGCAGGTCGTCCTTGTCAATGTCGTAGTCCAGTTTGATCTCATCAACGGATATGCCTCCACATTCTCCTTTGATGACAAAGGTGGCTGTGGCCCCCAATAATTCTTGCTGAATGACTTGCTCTGGGATTTCAAAGCTGAAGGACTCAAGAATATCGTTGAGGCCCGAGAAGTCGTCATCTTTGAGCCGACGACTTCGGTTGTGCTTTGAACGAAGCTTGTGGACGCGGGAGTCAATGGAAGCTGACTGACCTGGCTTTCTTGCCCTCTTCCTGGAAGCTTTGGTTTCGCCGGTTCCATCTACCGGTTCCAATACAACACTGTTCCTCCAACGTAGGATCATTGCTCGAAGTTCCTCGTCAACCCTGGAATGCACGTACTCTTTGGATAGAACGCCTGGGTAGCCGACAATGCTGCCCTGTCGTTTCGAGGAATCGGTTGCATGGCTATGGAGGAGTGAAGGAGATAGTGTGTGAGCTCCCGGCGTGGTTACTGGTGCCACTCTTTGAGCAAGGGTGCTGAGTACCAGTACCACAAGGCAAAGGATGCATAATGCTGGCTTGGTCATGTTAAAAAGTGCTTGGTGCGCGATTGGGCGGTGTGGATGCAGGCAGTATGATTTTATGCTTGAGAAGGGTTTGCTCTGTATGTGATGTTGGTCATCTTGTGCAAGGTGCAAGGTGCAAGGTGCAATAGTATAGTAGGTGATTAGGTAGGTCTGTCAAAGTCGCAGTGAGACGACGTGTTGAGTCACAGCAAGATGAACATGATGTGTGTTGCATTCGATTGTCCAGGGCTGCTGCTTGGGCCTCCTCAAAGAAAGCCAAGAAGCCGAATTTAGATTGAGAGATGAGAAAAAATTTAGTATACGAAGTTGTGTTGTATGTTGTGGAACGAATGAAGACCTGGCTCCAGTTTCAATGTTTGGAAGAAAGGATTGATGACTTTTGGCCAGTGCAGACGCAGTCAAGGCAACACTCGTGTGGGGTCGCGTCGCATTGCGGAGGACAGCAGGCTGGCTGTGAAAGCACCAGCGTGGCTGGTCACCGTGGACAATGTCATGTACTGGGACCTCTTACTGTAACCTAAACTTTATCTTGATGGATAGAGTTGAAGGTACCGGTACCCGGGAAGGTATCTTTCAAAATTCACAGGCCGAAAACGAGAAGTGAGAAAATTTAAGCCGCAAACAAATTCGAAACCTCACAACCCTTCTCAAGCAGCGGATCGAACAACACGAAGTAAAGCAAGCGTAGCAATGAGTGATGATGCTGGAGCGCTACTGGTAGCACCAGACTGGTGACGGAGACAACTGGATCTGCATATTGGAAGATGCCAGACGCGAGAAAGCTAGGCTCCTCACGGAAAAGCAAGCTCGCTTGGATGGGCTATGGGCTGCAAGAGGAGGGGAATCAACGCATTAGTACCTGGTAATCAAATTTCCCGTTCCCACAACACCCTTAATCAAATTAAGGAAGCGCTGGATGAACCTGGCGCTGCTGCCCGCCGTGAACCCCTTGATTCCCTCCTGCAGGTCATGGAGTTGACGATGTTACAGTGTTACAGTTGACATGTGTCATCAACGAAGTCACTCTTGACCCATCCGCGTGTGAACCATCCTCGTGCAAGGTCCATTCCACCACCGCTGCTGAGTTTGACCAAAAAATTGGGGAAGAAGACGCCAAGGTTTTAAAAGCTGTCACTGCTCTAATTGTTGGAATGAAAGAGGATTGAGGTCAACAAGATCAAGATCAATCGAGTGGGAGAAATTCACGGCTCATACATGTAGTGCTATAGTATGGTAGTATGGAAGTATGGTTGAATGGTGAAGACAAGGAGCAAAACATGGAGTTGTCGAGCGCCGCCAGGGTGGGGTCATACTTCCTCCCTCATAGATAAGATGATACCAGGATGAACAGTAATATATGAGGAAATTTCATTGTTTCAGACCAAGCCTTGTACCTGTGTCTTTGGATTACATGAAGTTACATCTGTGGGCTTCTGTTGCCAGTACAGTAGGATACCGTACCAAACAGGAAGCTACATGACGTCGATCTTTAGCTCTCCGAGGCAGAAAATTTGTTCTATTCCCTGTTCCAACACAAGCATGGGAACGACAACAACAACAGTTATCTCTTGGATGTTTCCAGTCATCAAGATGTAATGCTCACATGCTATCTTTCTAGCTAGCTAGTTGTAGATGGGGGAATCTGAGTGTCCAGATTATTGGCACGGCATCGCTGCAACCAGAATGAGGATAGCTAGTGAGGAAAAGCTATGAACTCAACATGGCATGATAGTGACTACTGTTTATCATTACGTTATCTACTAGCTAGTAGTAGAAAGAAGAGTGCAGAATAGAATCTCGCTACGTATACCGGTACACTGCTCCAACACAAACTCCTACAATGTCATGTACGGTACATGTACTGGTACCAGCACAATGCTACACTTTGAAGAACTCCATCCACCAATCAATCCAATCCAATCCAATCTAAAAAGTGAATTCTTGGACATCATCGGTTCCAATTTCCATTTCTTTCATGACTGTATCGCTCACCTTGACAAACCACCTGTGTCCAGTAAAGGATCCCACCGAAATGGGTGGATCACCATGTCCAATGTTCCCCCACAAGGTTGTTTCATAGTAGAGCTGTGCCCGCTGCAACTGAATATTGGTCCCAGTATTGCGAAAGGTGGCTGTGAGTGGTTTGGGTTCCATTTCCGACTTTTTCTTCTTTTTCTTGTGACTCTTATTGCGTTTGGCTTCACGGGCGGCTGCCTTGGCTTCTTTGAGTTCCTTGTCGTAGTCTTCTGCAGCCTTGATGGCGGCAGGGTTGAGCTGGAATCCAATGTAGGTTCCCTTGGGGGACCATTTGGCCTTGCCGTAGCGATCATTCCATCGTGCCAGCAACTGCAGTGCCTCAATGTCCGTCACATACTCTTCACCACCATACTTTTTGTGGACACCGACTTGGAATCGTTCAACGATTTGGCTTGAGTGGACGTGACCTTCTGGAATGATCCAGACTTGTGCAAAGTTGTAAAAGTCGTACTCAAGCCATTTGCCACGGTGGAAATGAGCTTCTTCCTGTGGAGTGCGACCATTGGCATTACGACCTGTAATGGTCTCTGTCAAGGTATCAAAGAAACCCATGGTGCTGTCTTCTGTCTTCTGTCTTCTATAGCTAGCCGAAGAAGCTTTTCGAAAAATGAAGCGCACACCCGGAGATTGACGTGGGTAGTTTGGAAGATTGCATCAAGGTTGAAAAGCCATATATCTTTCGAAACGTCATCTTAGACTCATTTGTTTCCCGTCTTCCGGTCTCTTGGGTTTGTGACACCACAAAAAGGTACCCCAGGTACCAGTACCAAAGCTTGCTTGGAACTTGGACAGCCAACTGTCCAGTAAGGGGAACCGTTACGGTTTGGGCTGTACACAGAGTCCTGGAACTTGTTAGGTGGTACCGCACGGTGCCTTGATTAGACGACAGGTGGTACTGGTACAAGTAGGTGATGCAATGAATTGAATTGATCTCTAGAGGCCCCACTGAAGCACTGTGGCCATCGTCGAAGTAACTCTTGACTGTGGGCACACAAGCAGTGATAGACTACAGTCTTGCAGCTTGAACCATTTTGAGCGCTGTATTGTTTTATATATTACCGGTAAATAGATTGATAAACTATATGATTTGCAATGTTTAGGTGTTGTTTTAAGGCGCAGTTTCCGAGTCATTTGATAGAGTTTGACTAAGGTTTCCCGTGGATCGATCATCGAGTGATGCAGATTCGATGGTTCTTGGAATCATGGGTCCCAATAGAGAGTCTTCGACTGGAGCAGGTGATCCCACAGATCCATGGTCGGGTGAACTTGCCGAAGAGCTTCGTTGATAGGTTCGGTAGGAAGCCCACTGCAGCAACTTTTCAGCAGATTGTCGAATATCTTGCGCTTGAGTGTCTTCATCATCATCGTCATCTTCATCATCTTGTTCCTCGTCATTAAGATCCTCGTCTTTCTCACTGGTGACGTCATCATTTTGGTCGAGTTCGTTTTCTTTTTTTTCTTCTTGAAAGGCATCTACTGTGGTTGTAGCTGTGGCTGTGGCTGTGGCTGCGGCTGTTGGACTGTTTGCTTGTGGACTGTTGGCAGCACTGCCAGTAGCACTGTGTCGTGAGCGTCGTCTATGTTTGGCAGGAGTGGAATAAGACGAGTAACCCCCCAAAGACTCGTCCAAGCCGCCAATTTCCGAGACGGAAGACTCCATGAGTTCGCCTCGCAATTTTCCAATCTCCCGTTTGGCTTTGCGTAAGTCTTCCTTCAACGCAGCAATCTCGTTCACTTGCTCCAAGTACTTGCTCTGAAAATAGTTGCGTTCTTCCGTCACGCAGAATAACTCATTCTGGAGCTTTTGCAGACCAAATACCATCTTGCCTATCTTGCCTATCCGTCGTTATCTACTTTGTCTTGCTTAGCTTAGCTTCGTTTTATTAAGAGCTATTAATAGTTAGTTGGCTGGTTGGTTGTGGTTGTGAGAACAGGTACTGGTACCACTTGGCTTGGAATGCTACTATTAATAGCTAGAATAAGACGAGAAACGGACGATCCAAAAATGGTTTCGGCATTGTCCAATCCTTTCTTTCTCAATTTAATTTGGCACAGTCGTGTAGCAAACCGACCCATTGGAGGGAGATGTGCACCGTGCGAGGAAGCGATCCATCAAATCGCCAACCAGGCGTCCGTGACTTCTTTCAACGTATTCAGACTTGAAGGATGCAATCAGAACAACGGATGGTAATTACAAGCATGGCCGACTTGGATACTTGCTACTCACATTTTTAATCATTCCACCTTCAACCAGTTTGGCTGAGTCAGAGTCAGTCATCCACTTATCTGGAGCGAGCATACTAGTACGCATGCAAACTGTCTGCTAGCTATGATAGCTACAAATGTAGCAACAACGTTGGTCTCATAACAAAAAGAAAGAAATTAGGCAAAGCATAATTTAAACAGGGAAAGCGGAAGCTGCGGTACTCGAGTACTGGCTACTAGCTATTAATAATAGTAATAGCAGGTGGCAAGCCAACCAATGGATTGGCATCTTCGTCATAGCTACCAGCCAACGCTGCACACTGGCATGCGGCCGGTACAGTAGCGTCTTCATTATTTCTCACATGTACATGTAGTCCATTCTTCGCTGTCAAAGCAACAGAGCGGAAAGTAGTGCAGCTACATGTATGATAGCCTCCCTCATTCTAAGCAACGGGTCCGTTCCATGACATGTACCGGTAGCTATATGCATACTATTAGCAATAGCTAAAAACTAGCTGGGCTGGGAACATCTTTATCATGCCGCAGCACAGATTGCCGACCACTTGCACATCCTGACATCCACGCATCATCAATAGTCAGGCCATTGCCATATCAATGACGGGGGCAACATCAGCCACTTTGACTTTGACTCCAGTAGTTCTGGCGGTTGGCACTTTTGTTCCGAGTCAAGGCTGATCAGACAACTTGCTGGTGCTCTATTGGCAATGCAATGCAATGCAATGCAATACCTGGTACCGGTACACTGCTCAATCAGCCAACATCTCCATCCCGCGTGAACCGTACGTACAGGATATCTTTCTCTACCTCGTGAGTTCAAATTGCGTGCTACATGTAACTTGTTATCTTTGTTAGCAACCACCATGGCCAATGAAAGAATTCCACATGAGCAAATACATGATGGGCAGTTGATCGGGTTGTCAAGCCCCCAACGAATCGAATTGGTACATGTACATACATGTACCTCATTATCGGACGCTTGCCGATTCCCAACCATCGCAACAGGGGTGTCAGCCATCTCAGGCAAGCAGTCGAGGCCGCCATGATTGGTTGGTTAGGTGTTGGTTGATTGAATGCTACCGTACGGGATGACGGGATGTCACTGCGAGCAAAGTGCCACTAAGTAGCGAGGGACTTGCTGGTACTTGTTGGAGAATTCGAGTGAGAAAGATCTCTGAAGGAAACAGCTTTATCAACCCGAACAGAAGAAGCAAAAAACGAAGCTCCTTCCTGAAGTTTCGACAAGAGATTGTTTCATGGATTTGTTTCATTGAAGCGATAGACCCTTTCGAACCATGCACTACTAGTACCGTATGCTAGCAGGACGGATCCATCCATCTGCAATCTGCATGCATGCATGTGTGTGGCTTCGGAGCTACACGCAAGCATCACCGAATGACAGGTCTGGTAGGAAGCAGGAAACATTTTGATCGTCTATCTAGCTAGCTACCGAGGGCTATCTCGGTACTAGCTAGAACTATTAGGGAACTTTCTAGCTAGCTAGTAGCGCTAGAACCCCACAACAGAGACGCCCAGATCTTGGCAAGTCGCCATCTTCACTTTCAATTTTGCACGCACGGATAAGTAAGTGATGGATATGCTGGCAATACAAATTTACTCCAGGCTCCAAGGATTCGTCTTCGGCTGGGCAACTCAAACAAAGCAGCAATACTATCTTGTTGTCTGCCTAAAAAGTGACTTGTGGTGTTTTGTTGGTGGTACCAGTACTAGCTAGTATACTGGTATCCTGCATCCATGCTATTGCATCCAAGCCTCTCTGCGATCTTTCTTTGAGGGACTGCCGAACATGTTCCGGTCGAAGCTGGCGGTCGATCAGATGCCCTTGACACTGCGACATCGCTAATCCTCGTCTCACGCCAACCATTGAGACTTCAACCCGCCGATCTTTCAATTTCCACGAATGGACAGTAGATTGTTTGACAGTGATGGATGCTCGAGAGGTTTACCATTGTTCCATGGTAATTATTGCATTTGAATGTCCATAAGTGTTGTACGTCAATAAATTTCGACGCAGCGAACCTAGGGTTCTCTTTTGATTGGCTTGCGGCTTTATGGAGGAATTAGTAGTGTTGTGTGTAGAAGCTTGACACTTCCACGCCGTCCACTCCCACAACCACCCAATCGTATCTGTCCGAGATGACACCCTCGCCAGACGAGATTGAAAGTGCTCAGAAATTCTGTTTGGAGCGACGCAGAGAAAAGATACCATTTGTGTAGGTGTCCGTAGGGACTGTACGTGAAAGCAGGTGAGTGATGTACTCGAGTCAAACAACTAAATCAGAACGATCTTTGATTGCCTCGTGTTGTGTGTGTTGTGTGCTCTATCCGTTTGGTGTGCTTTTGGAAGAAGCGTCGAAGGCTCACAAATAATCACTAGTAACCTTCTACATCTTATGTAAAGGACCTCGCTCTCTCTTTGCTTTAGCAAACCCAGCTCTTTCCCCTTTCTTTCCAAACTATCTTTCAAGATGCAAGCTTTTTCGTCCTCCAACACTGCGAACCCAACTCTCGAGTCCGTGGTGGACAACAAGAACGGTTCTGACAGTGTCGGAGGACGTAAATCTGAAGATGTCGTCGCCGACTTGGTTGAAGTGTCTAGCGACGAGTTGACTTCCGAGGAGGAGCTCAACAACACCGATGATGTGGAGGATTTGGATTTGGATGATGATGTGGAGGAAACGGATGAAGATGATGATGAAGACGATGAAGACGACGACGACGACGAGGATGAAGGTGAGTCTTCTTCTTGTTCTTTCGAGTCTTGTCGTGGTTCGGGTTTGGCGTCGACTCACACACTCCTCGCTCTCTCTCTCTACTCTACACTCTCTGGACTCAGACGACGACGATTGGGAAGACTTTGTGAACGAACGCAAGTTGATCCTGGAAGAAGCCAAGCAGCTCCAGAAGCTCGCTGACTTCTTCGCCCACCCCGAGAAGACTGTGGCGGTCGATGGATTTGCCAAGGGCCGAAACTACTTTACCCGAGTTGCGGCGCCAGAAGTCTTGGACGAAGACACACAGGAAGAGTGTGACGACATTCTCAAGGATGTCCTCGCTTTGAAGAAGAACGCCAACTTCTTTTACCACCCAGAAGCAAAGTTGGAGATTGATTCCACGGCGTGTGCTCGCAACTACTTTAGCCAGCCATGGGCCACCGAGCAGGAATCCTTTGGTCAAGCCGAGCAGCGTGTCCAAGCCATTCAGCTAGCTCAGCACATGGCCAAGACTGCTTCTGACTACCAGCACCCGGAAGCTCCCGTTGGATGGAAAGATGCTGCCGTCTTTGGACGCAACTACTTCCAGCGTCCTTCGGCAGAGGACACACAGGACGAACAGGAATGTGAGCTCATCTTGCAAGAGATGAAACAACTCAAGCAGTTGGCTGTCACCTTTCAGCATCCTGAGGCTCCTCTCCAAGTGGATCCGACCGCCTTTGGTCGAAACTACTTCAGCAGGGCTTCGGCACCTGAACAGGAGACGGACGAGTACACGGATGACCGTGAGATCATTTTGGAAGAGATGAAGGAACTCAAGGAAGCTGCTGTGCTCTACCGCCATCCCGAGAAGCCTTTGGAAGTCGATCCCACTGCGTCTGCCAGGAACTACTTCACCAGGGCTTCGGCGCTTGAACAGGAGACGGACGAGTACACTGATGACCGTGACATTATCCTAGAAGAGATGAGGGAACTCAAGGAAGCCGCTATGCTGTACCGTCATCCTGAGAAGCCATTGGAGGTGGATCCCACTGCTTGTGCCAGGAACTACTTTGACCGTGCGTCGGCAGAAGAACAAGACGATGAGGCTGCCGAGAGGGCTGCCGTTCTTCGAGACATGAAGGCTCTCAAGTCCTTGGCTGTCACCTACAGGCACCCAGAGCTCCCTGTCCAAGTCGATGCCACGGCGTGTGCTCGCAACTACTTTACTCGAGCCTCCGCGCCGGAACAAGAGGATGAGGAGATTGACGAAGAGAAGCAGGCGATCTTGCAAGACATGGCACTCATGAAGAAGCAGGCAGGTGTGTACATGCATCCAGAGAAACCATTGGAGGTCGACCCCACTTGCTTTGGAAGGAACTACTTTGGGAGAGCCTCGGCTGTGGACCAGGAGTCATTCGCTTCGGCAGAACACAGGGCTCTGGCCATTGAAGAAGCAGCTGCGCTCAAGGAACAAGCCGTCCTTTACAGGCACCCAGAGGTACCCCTCGAGACCGATGCCACTGGCTTTGGTCGCAACTACTTTGCTCGTCCTTCTGCTGACGACTCGGACTCGGAGGATGAAGAAGAGCGTGACCTTGTGCTACAGGAGCTGGCTCAGCTCAAGAAGCTTGCCGTCGACTACTTGCATCCAGAGCGAGCTGTCGTCTGCCAAGACCCTTGTGCCTTTGGAAGGAACTACTTTGGACGCGCGTCTGCTCCAGACCAAGAAGACGAAGACATGGACGAGGAGCGCGATGCTATCCTTGAAGAGCTTGCCGAACTCAAGCGCTCTGCTGTGGACTTTATGCATCCTGAACGTCCTCTCTCGGTCGATCCTACTTGCTTTGGAAGGAACTACTTTGAACGTGCCTCGGCTGTTGAACAAGAGGACGATGACTTGGCTGACGAGCGTGAGATCATTCGTGAAGAGATGGCGGAACTCAAGCGAAGTGCAGTGGACTACATGCATCCGGAGCGTCCTTTGCCTGCGGTCGATGCTACTGCTTTTGGTCGCAACTACTTTGCAAGGCCTTCTTCGGAGGCTGTTGAAGACATGGAAGAAGTTCAGGAGCGAGCCCGCGTCTTGGCTGATGCCGCTGCCCTCAAGAAGCTGGCTGTTGACTACGCCCATCCAGAGTTGCCGGTCACTGCCACTGATGCCACCGTGTTCGGTCGCAACTACTTCTCGCGCCCAGGAGCACCCGAAGGCGAATCCTTGGAAGAAGCTGAAGAACGTGCCCGTGTCATGGCTGATGCCGCTGCTCTCAAGAAGTCTGCATCTGACTTTGCTCATCCGGAAAAGCCAGTGGAGGCAGACGCTACTGCGTGTGCCAGAAGCTACTTCTCTCGCGCTTCTGCTCCTCAGCAGGAGTCTGTAGAGGAGGCCGAGGAACGAGCTGTGATCTTGGCAGAAGCGATGGCTCTCAAGAAGCTTGCAAGCGACTATCTCCATCCAGAGGCACCTGTCACCACCGCGGATCCTGCGGCTTGTGGACGCAACTACTTCTCTCGGGCCTCGGCTCTTGGCGTGTCCGAGCATATCTACTCGGAAGGCTTTGAGAATCCTACGGAACGTGCTGTTAAACAAGATGAGTATGGCCACTTTGAGATGGACGAAGAGATCTTCTATGATATGCGTCAGTCCATCGTGTTGCCTATGGCCAGCGAGATGAATCCTACGGCTCCGAAGATTCAGAGCAGCAAGATGAGCAGCGAGGAAGAAGGCCAGCTTTCTCGCTCGCCCTCCTCTGTCATGCTCTTTATGGGCTCGTTGGAAGACGACCACCCACCCCTGCCCTCCATGGGCTAGAACCGCTACTGCGTTCGTTATCAACATGTGGTAACTACAACCAGAAAACCCAGAAAAAATATATATGCTTTTGTACTACCACATGCTGCACTCTCTCTCGATGCTCATTGTATGTTTCAATACTCTCTTTAAAAGAAAAACAAATAAAAAAACTTCATTCATACTCTTGCTTTGTCCTGAACGTCGTACTCGTGCTACCGTGGCTTGTCTACTTACTCTTTCCGCTTTCAAGCTGCCATACCGGAAGCCCCCAAAGGAACAGATCGGCTCTAGCATCTGGAAGGGAAGCTTTGCAACGGCGCAACCGGACTCGACTGAGCACTCTCGTGGAGGTTGTGCTACTCTATGCTACCGGGTAGACCTGCTTTTTGGTTTTTGTTGTTTCGTCTGTGCGAATTATGGCTGAACTGTTATGCTAAGCGAGCGATCTATCAGTGCCGGTGGCTCAGGATGACTGTGTCCCTTGTAGGGGCTACCCAGCAAAGTCATGACCTATCTTGGCATCTTTAAGAGTCAAGATTAGCTAGCTATTGCAGATATTTATGATCATGTTTTCCAATGTGTCGGAACCTGATGAATGTTGGCTGCTGTGACGAAAGCGGCAAATATGGTTTTGTTGCGATGGGGCTCATGCGCCGCCCTTCTTCAAGCATACCGCTACATGTACCGATACGGTAGCACCGCCGACGTAATGGCTCCGAAAACGAGCATGGAGTGAAGTCGACGACGTTGTACTACGAGTAAGATGAGATCCTGCAATCCATGCGCATTCATTCCTTTAGTAACGGAGCAGCAGGAGCCCTCTGCCACGGTACGTTTCTACGGTTGGCAAGGAGGCAAATGCGGGGTGCACTTCTTGCCGGCAGCCAGTGTAGAAGAACGCACAACAGGCAGGGTACCGGTACAGTATGGTATACAGTGGCTGTCATTGCTAAAAAATCAAGTCAACTAAAATCTAGCTATGGTTTGTACTCCTCGAATTTGCCGGTCCTTCCATTGAGGATCATGGATCTGTTTTCCCGTGCTTGCTTTTTGATCTCTTCGTATCTTTCCTTTGTCTTTTCGAATTCTGCCTTTTGTTCCGCAATTTCTTCTTGGAATGCTTCCAATTCCTCGGCCGAGCTTCTACGTAGCTTCTGTCGTGCCACAAGCGGAGCCTTGATCTCGTCTTCTGTCATTTCACCCAACCATTTGGCAAAGTCTTCTCGTGTGGTTTGTCCTGGCTTGAGTATTTCGGCAGCCAAGAACTCTGTGGCAATCAACTGTACATCCGGTTCGGGCAATCCGGGACACTTCATGCGTACCAAGTTCATGGTCGGCTTGAGTCCAGAAGCATAGTCTTGCAAAGCCTGTAGTTGATCTGGGTCATTGGATCCAAAGCAAGGAACGATGTATCCGAGAAGGCTGATTTTGTCTTCAACGTCCATCTGTGAAGTGTACTGTCCGAGTGGTTCCCAGAAATCCTTGGAAGGTTTGCGCAATCCCAGTCCTGACAAAAACAAAAGAAGGTGGTATTAACAGCAAAAGTAAGTGAAAGCGTGTGAGCAAGATACAGTACATGGAAACAATGAAAAGGGCGCAACATACTGTAACATAGCAGCAGCGACTGTCACTCGTGTCGTCTCGAGATGAACGTACCTTGCTTGAGAGCAACCAACTGGTCTTCATTGGCATTAAAGTCTGGGTTAATGATGAGTTCGGTAGCGAGCTGTGCTTGCATACTGAACGTGAATGCGAATTGATCCATTTTGACGAGTGCTTCGTAGACCTTGGGAATGGTTGCAATGTTGTTTTCAATGGCATTCGTGACCCTCTCCTTTTGCTCTCCTTCGGTAGCCATTTCAATGGATCGTACGAGTCTCGGAATGACAAGGTTTTTGTCTCTTGGTTCAACGACGGGCATCATCCACATTTTGCTGGTGATTGATTTTTCCAGGTTGTCGGCGTTGAGTGAATCATCTTGTGCTCCCTTGACGGCTTGTACAACAAAGATGTTGTTTGGCTTTCCTTGGTTCATCATGTTTTCTAACGGATTGGTGCCGACGGTGGACATGTCCTTTGCGGATTCCGGACTGATATTGAATCCTCTGAGACTATCCCATCCATCACCAGCACTGAACTCGAATAGTGATCCACAAATCCACATGTGTTGATCGTCGTTGTAGTCTCTCCAAACCTTGGTGGCAGCTCTTTCGAATTTGGAGTTGAGAGGAGCATCTTTTCCCGAAAAGACAATGAACATTTGACCTCCTGGCTTGAGCATGTACCATGCGGATCGTAGTACTTCTCTTGGATTGGTGAGGAACTCTACCGTGTTTGCCATAATGACGGCATCGAATGGATCTTGTGCCAGTAGACGGAATTCATCATTATCGACATCCCTGTCTTCAACGACCGTGTTAAGGTCTACAATCATGGTCTCGGTAAGGGAAGGATTGATGTCCATGAGTTTCTGGTTGAGTCCAATGCCGACGTGTCTACTGGGTTTGACCGAGTCTGGCAAATAGGATTCTTCAGCAGCACCGAGTTCCAAGATGGATGCTCCGTCTTGCAAGTAAAAGTCGTAGTGGCTAGAAAAAGAAATGAATGAAAAAAAGAAATGAAAGGATGAGAGATGATCAGTTGGTTTCAATGTTCAGGTAAGTTTCAAGTACTTGTAAGTAAGTCAACCTTACTACTGTACTTACGCCTTTAGTTTTTCAATGGCTTCTTGATCCATTTCAGTCTTGACATCTGCCTTTTGGTTTCCCCAAAAGTCGTAAACATCGAGTTGGTTTGCCTGCTGTTCTTCTAGAGTAGGTTCTGCAGCTCCAGGCGCTTGTTGAATGCCACTGACCATGGACGCCATTTGGTTCATGCTCATCTGAGGAGCCTTTGGAATATCCTCTGTCGGCATGAAGAACTGTCTATCATAAGGCCAGACAGGAGGCCACTTCCAGACAGACGATCCCACGCGGAGTCCCGGCGATTCAAGTTTGGCTTCCTCTCGAGTGGCCATGGGCATTTTCTTCTTTTCCTGTTCGGCCTTGTACTTTTTGAAGGCTCCACTGATTATGTACAGCTGGGTACTGGTTCTACTAGTACCACTCTGCACTGGAGGAGCCTGAAATCCAAGACACACAGACACAGCCATAGCCATCAGCATCAACAGCACCAGGGCTGATTGACATTGCTTGGTAGAAGAGCTTCTCATCATCATCATTGCTTCTTCCTTTCTTTCTTTCTCTAGCTAGCTAGCTTCTAGACAAGATCTGATGTTTTGGCTTCAGAAGATGGATGAGTGTTGATGGGGGTGTTGATGTCTCTATGGTCTGGTTGTTTTTTCGTTTCTTCAACCTGACGATGATTTATTTGATCAAGACATGAAGCCGATGAGAAAGATACATTTGTTGACACGTGGAAGATTGGATCCACACGAACATTCCGTCCTGGACAGAGTCAATGGTACAACGATGTACTGGAGAAGGAACTTCAACTTATTGGCACGTATTTTTTTTGTCGGGCTAGCAAGATTCCGTCTTCCTAAACCCTAATCTTCATGAGATTACCAACAATGTTTTGGTGTGGATGTAATTCCAGCTCAACGGTATTATGTTTCGACAGAGGTGACCGACCGACAATCTTTCGCCTCACACAAAAAAAGTAAAGCACCACCGTACACTGCGCTGCACTGCACTGCATGGTTGGAGACAAGCAAGAGCAAGATGATGACCCATCGAACCCCCAGCGACAAAGAGCAACCCTCGACTCTGATGAGTGCTATGAGTACTAGTACTAGTCCTACTCGTAGCAATGGCGAGACATCGCATGGCGTGGACGCCAACGTGGACGTGGACGAAAGCTCTGACTATGGCATTGAGCTCAAGCCGTTGGTTCACGGTCTCGACGGCGAGTCTTCTACATGTGCTACAGGTGTGGAAATGGGACTGGATGGTAGTGGTAGTGGTAGTGCATGTACTAGTAGTCCACGACGCCGTTCCTGCAATGCTACTAGTAGTGCCAATGGCGGAATCACTACTGGAAGCCACGCCAGTGCTACAGCGGCAGTGGGCACCGCGTCCAATGCGCAAGTGGCCGTCAACATTTTCATCAGTTTTGTGGGCGCGGGACTCTTAGGTCAGCCGTTTGCTTTTTCAAAAGCTGGCTGGTTGCTGGGCACTATTGCCGTCATTGCCGTATCAGCTGCCAATGTATACGCCATGCTCTTGCTGGTACAAATACGCAAGTACCTAGAACACCAAGACCAATTCCTCAAGGGAACCATCAAGGGCTATGGCTGTATTGGAAGAGTCGTCAGTGGAACCACTGGAGAAAATTTCGTCAATATATGTCTCGTCATTAGTCAGGTAGGATTCGCTACCGCATACATCATCTTCATCGCCGCAAACATCACCACGGTTTTCCCAGCCATTCACAGATCATACATTTGCTTTGGATGTGTACCCATCCTATGTATCCTAGTGCAAGTACAAGACATGAAAACACTCAGTCCATTCTCACTCATTGCTGATGTCGCCAATATACTCGGACTCAGTGCCGTGCTCTTCCAAGACTATGAATACTACGAATACCATCATGAAGTCATACACGCTGCTACCAATTTCAAAGGATTCATATACGTCGCTTCCGTCGCCATCTACTCACTTGAGGGAGTTAACCTCGTTTTGCCACTCGAATCCTCATGTGCCGACAGAAAAGGATTTCCAAAATTACTCATGCAAGTCATTACGGGAATTTCAATACTCATGGTCGCTTTCGGATCCGCTGGATACATTGCCTTTGGATCCAAAACAGAGGCACCTGTTACACTCAATCTACCTCCAGATGGACCTTGGGGAAATTTTGTTAAGGTTGCTCTATCACTCGCACTATACTTGACATATCCCGTCATGATGTTCCCCGTGGGACATGTACTCGAAGATCAACTACAATTATTTCGACAATACAGTGTCACCACACGGGCATTGGTGGTATTCCTCACATCTGTCGTGGCATGGGCCATTCCCAGTTTTGGTAAATTTCTAGGGTTGGTTGGATCATCCATCTGCATGATCCTAGGATTCATTCTGCCGTGTTACTTTCATCTCAGAGTATTTGATCCGAACGATCTCTCCAAGACAGAATTGTTTATGGATTATGCACTCATTGTCGTGGGAACCATCATGGGCGTCATTGGAACATACAACTCATTCATGGATCTTCTTGAAGGAAATGATGTTTAAATTATTACTAATTAAAATTGTAAAAAGCATAATAATAATACTTTTAGACAGTACCGGTAGTCTACAGGTAGACCTACATACAGTGTGCAATTCTGCTTCCTTCTATTAGCTAGCTAGTCCATTGCAACTACATGTACATGTACGAAGTTGGTCAAAGAAAAGAAAGTAAAGTTTGCCAACAAAAAAGAAAGCCATGGCGCGATGGGCTCCCTCTGAAGGAGGAAGAAACGCAATCGACAGCCTTACCGGCTCATTGCTGGAGCACGAACAGATCGACCATTCATTCATCACTCAACCGACGAAAGCTAGTGACAAAGCTATCATTTCTATTGACAATAGCTATTGACTGTTGCTCTGTCTACTAGCTAGCTAGCTACATTGTACATGTATGATGAGAAAATGAAGATGGTGAGATCCTCCTCCAAGCTGCTTCGGCTGGGGGCTTTGTTTGGAGTTGGCTGGGCTCTCTGTACTTGGCTCTTGGTGGACACTGTCATGCATGGGCAGGAGCAGGAGCATAAAGACAAGTCTTCTTTCATTCCTTCATCATCATCATCATCTTCATCTTCATCATCATTTCTTAGTAGTAGTAATGTGGATGAAGCATCCTTTTCAGCATGTCTATTGGTGATGGATGACAACCACTGGACCATTGAATGGTTGGCCTATCACTACTTTGCCTTGCCTCTGGGCAGATTGATTGTGGGAGTGGATCCTCGTTCAGAGACTTCACCCTCTGCCATTTTGGAGCGATGGAAAGACCGCATTCAAATCACTGAATGGAAGCAAGACAGAGACTTTATGACTCTCCAAGAACAGACAGAAGCAGAAAGAAATGTATTGGCTCAGTTTGGAAACATATCTGATACCCTGGTCAAACACAGAGCCAGGCAAAGAGTTTTCTACTACAAGTGCATGAAAACACTCAAACAGGAACACAAAACTTGGACTATACTCATTGACTCGGATGAATTCTTGCGCATCAACACACACCTTGCCACACACCTCCATTCACACACAAACAAACTAAAACATGCATCCATTGCCAAATTGCTTACAGCAGAACTCAACAGACCAGGAAACAACATCTCAAAATCACCATGCATTCAAATACCAAGACTCAGATTTGGAGCTGTGGAAACATCTACAACAACACTTACCAAGCATCTCATACCTGACAATCTGCAAATAGAACCATCACAATTCTTGACGCTCCGTTGGGTCAAACATGCTGGACCTGAACAATACTGGGCCAACAAAATATCAAAAGTCATGATTGACTTATCACAAGTACCATGGCAAGAATTGGTTCCTGTGGAAAGCATTCATAGACCCATCAAGGCATTCTGCGGACAGAGAAAACTGCATATTCGAACTCATCAATCCGTGTTCGTCATCAATCACTACTTGGGATCCTGGGAACAGTACAAATACAGGACCGGCGATGCTCGGATGGACGAAGACAATGCCAGAAGTGAAAAACAATACAAGAAACTCAAACAAGTACAAAAGGAAACAAACCACGATATTCAGCCATGGCTACAGGGGTTTGTCAGCCAGGTCGGAATTGATACGGCTCGGCAACTACTGCAAGGAGTGGGAATGCTACATCCCAAAGGAAAGAACATCAAGGACAACGATCCCAATGCTTACCTACCTACAGTGGGTCAAAATAATGAACCATGTGCCATTCTACTGTTTGGACTCCCAAGATCCTTTCGAGATATTGTATTGCCGTCCATCGTCAAAAACATTATTGGAATCAATGCACGTTACAGTTGCGATTACTTTGTACATTACTTTCATCGCGATCAAGAACCCCAGGGGAGAGCCAACCTAGGAGGAACGCTCATTCCCAAGGAAATACTCTTGTTGCGAGATGCCGTCCACAAACGAGACACGGTGACGTACCGAAAACTGCACCCCAATCACAAACCATTGGTCCAGTTCCAGGCTGTCACGGAAAAAGAATTCTGGGCAGCTCGCAATGACACTATTCAAAAGTACCGAAACACCAAGGGGAAGGATGGACACTATCTATATTTTCCGTGGAAAGCCAAGTCATACCAGTATCCCTCATCACTGGACAACATTGTGAGTATTTATTCTGCAACACAATTGACTAGTAAGCTCTGCTTTGTACATGTATGAGTGCTACCTTACTGTATTCTCATCCACAGTCTCTCTTTGGACGTATCGATCGATCACTCACTAACCAACTCCACGATAATCAATCCATGCACGGACCCAGGTCCGTCAGTGGCACAGCATCGACGGAGCCTGGAAACTCATGGAGGAATTCGCAGCCAAACGAGGGATTGCGTATCAACGAGTGGGAATGTTCCGATCAGACGTCATGTACATTTCTCCGATTGATTTGTACGAGACAGAGCTGCAATCCTACGATCGACAAAACAATCAGGCCGTGTTGGCACCGTTTGGAGCGTTGCCCGTGAACGACCGAATGTTCTATGGGCCCTATGAAGCTGTCGAGATTTGGGCTACAAGACGTTTCCAGGTAAGCAAGCAAGCCAAGTGAATGAAATGTTTGACGGCGGCAATTTTATAATGGCAGCATGCCGCTCACATTAAATGTTTGGCACTTTCCTGGATCTCCCAACAATGCATAGTTTTTGGAGAATTACGTGCACACCTGCGAGAGGGGCTGGGCCATGCATTCGGAAAAGTTTTTGAATGGAGCAATCCTTCCTGCGGTTCGGGAATTGGGTATCTCGGTGGTTGTGAATCCCGATATTTGTTTTCTGCGTGCTCGTGCAGACCATTCGGTGGTGGCAACGGATTGTCACTTGTTGGGAGAAACACGAGGGTATGTGCTGGGGGATATGAAGAGTGTGATCGAAGGGGTTTTGGAACGCAACTGCTCTGACCCACGCAGAGCGACCTTGTCGCACATTATGATTCAGTGCGAGCGAGACATAGACCAGCCAGAGTCGTAGAGTTGTATCTAGCTAGATTGCGCATTGCCAGCGAGCTATATGAACGTACGTCGAACTATAAAAATTATATTAAAACAGGATGCTACTGACAAGCTAGACTAGCCAAAAAACTACTCTGTACCAGTATGATTTGAATGAACCTAGCTCTGTGCTAGCTACATGTAGGTAGGTATGCATCTACCTATCTAGATATCTATCTAGATATGTCTAGCTCCATCCATCAAACTTTTTAGGATCTTGCCAGTTGGGATGCAGCTGACCAATATCTTTTTTGATGATGACATCATAGTAGTCCTGGGCCTCTTTCTTGCAGTTTTCGTAGTGATTGACACCTTCCTTGCGGTAGCACTCGATGACACTCTTCCGAAGGATCTTGACAGTTTCAATGGCGACTTGTCGCTCTCTTGCTCGTTGCTCCGTGGCTTGAAGGTACTTTAAGGGGTCCTTGGCACGGCCTCTCTACGTGACAGAGAAAAACACATGTGAGATGAGAAGAGCAGAATTGGTGTACACTCCAGTGCTGGTACTAATTCTACGCACCGCCACACCCAACTCTTCATGAGGATAAGCGTTCAGCTTGGGTCCTTCATAGACCTTGTCCTTCTGGTACACGTCCGTCATCGCAACACACTTGGATACTAGCTACCGTATATATTACAGCTCGTTGCTACTGTACTCAGTACGAGGCAACAGCTTTCACTTGATCCGACAACACAACTCAAGCAGCAGCCGATAAAGAGTTGCGGTGTGTTGGTTGGGTGATGTTTGTTGGCTTTCTCTTGACTGAGTCCCGAACGAAACAAGACTGAAGACCCCATTTCCAATTCCTCAATCATTCGATTCGATTCATATGCCTCCTGGCTCGTCTCCGTTTCCATAAATCTTTTATTACCAACACCTAACTCGCTTTATTGAAACAGTATTCGCGCGCTCCGCGCGCTCATCCCTTTCTCTGCTTCGCCCCGAAACGGATCCCTCATTCATGCGAAAAATGTGAAGAACGCAAGGCGACTTTCATGTGCATGTACATGCGTTGACTGTATCCCGTCAATACAATACTAGTCGAATACGTAGACTTCTACAGAGGCCTCTAAGTAATGCACGCGGGGTATAATTCAAACCTCCACTCCCCATCGGTACCCTTACCCCTAAAAGCAAATCGTCTCCGGGAGACGAAATTCGATTCGATTCACTGGGCGGGCTCCAGGTTTATCACTGGCGCTGCTGAGTGCTGAGGGAATGACCAATCGTTGGCCACAGTAGCTAGCTAGAATGTCTAGAACCGCTTGATGTTGGACTGCATTGGGTAGAGCCGAGACTAGTAGGGCACCAGGACGAGAGCTACTGTAGCTAAGTTGGTTGTTTTTGAGGCTGCAATTTCAAGAGTACGTACTACTTGCAACACAGGAACTTTAATAGCTCTCGGCCCAGCATATTTACTTTTACAACACTCCAAGAACGTAGGCTCTCTCCCTTGCTGCATGCTCATACGACATCAGCAACATAAGCCACCGTTCTTAGGATTCAATAATTGATCACAATATTACCAAGCTACCATCATCGTCGTCATCGTCAACTGCCTTGCATTCGATAATGGAGTCTTCTTCGTCGTCATCATGCATCGAAGTCTTCTTGGAGTCGTTCCTTGGCAATGGCGATTCGTTGGTGGGACAAAGCTCCAATTTTCTGCTCATTTTGCGTCTTGGTGGGCGGCATTCAGGTCTGCCTCGGACAAGTGTCGCCGTCTTGCACAGCTCAAGGTTCAATTCGTGGCTGCTGGCCGCTCGACTAGACGCAATTTGATATGCCTCGTTCCCTGAATGGACCGCTACACAAGAGGATGTCCGATCCGTACACGCCAGAGCGAGCCCGGCATCGTCCATGTCGTGACACTTGATACCTGTCAAACTCGCAAGTGAACCCATGGGGAAAAACTCGTACAAGAGTGAATCGTCGGCGGTGGTGCTCGAGCTAAACGAATTCAAGTCATTCGAGGATTCCGAGTCTGAATCTGATGACGTTGATGACGAGTCAACCGTGGATGTCTCCGCTTGGGAACAACTGTTAGACAATATCCCAGGAGGGAATTCGTCGTAAGGTGATTCAACACCAAACCGAGAGAGATCACCTTCACTCTTGCACCTTTGCACTATTGCCTTTTCCTCTTTCGGAAGTAGTGTCTCACCGTTCGTCAATATCGCACCGGACTCTGTTTCCTGTGCTTCGTTGTATGGTTCCTTCTCTTCTTCTATAAACCAGCCTGTGCTGTCCGAAAACACTGTATTGCGACCCTCGCTCAGAGTGGAATTGCACACAGAGTCATCTTGGAGGTCAGGATCGTCAGGATCGTCAGGATCGTCTGGGTCGCGGGAACTGTTGTTCGAATTCATGTACATCGCAACCGGGCCGTCCACTTCGACGACCTGATGACAATGGAACGCAAAGGATGAACGGTGAGGTGCTTTCTGAGTTACGTTCGTATGTATTCTACACACCAGTGGGTGGGTGGACTCACCAGATCACGCGACACATCATCTCGACGGACAGCCACGTTGGGTGAAGAGTCATTGTCGTCTACGTTGCTGCTGCTACGGCTCTCAAAACCTCGACTGGTGCTTGATTTTTGTCCCGACTCAGACTGTTGCTCCGTGTCTTCAGGATTCAAACGGTCACCTTTCCCATCGATGCACACTACAAGGTCTGTATCTGTCTCTGGTATGGTATCTTGCTTGGCGCTATTCTTTAGTCGTGACATGCCGTGCTTGAAGCTCTGACTCAATTTTCGTAGGTGCTTGCTTCCTTTTTTGCCTATGGCAGACGCTCTTGTTCTTTTCTTGACGTCATCCAGGATACTTCTCTTGCTTTTCCTTGTTGCCTTCCTTGATCCCTTGCCATTCTTGCCACTCGGGATGTCTTCTTTGCTGTTCCGGACAGCCATCTTTCCTGCGTTGGCGTTGCCGTCCAGCACATCAGAAGAGGCAGTACTCGTACTTGTACTCGCCTTCGCCGAAGAAAAACCGCTTGCATCAGCCGTAAAAATGGTGCCACTTTCACCATCCTTGGAACTGATGGCGCTTTCACCATCCCTACTGGAGCTGATGGCGCTTCTATCAGCCTTGGAGCCCATGCGGCTTTCAACATCGTTGGCAGAACTAATGCGGCTTTCAATATCGTTATCAGAACTGATGCGGCTTTCGACATCGTGGGCAGAACTGATGCGGCTCTCAACATCCTTGGATTTAGTGCTCCCGGAATCACTGAACGCTGACGATTCGTACTCAGTGTTCTTTGCAGATTTCATCAAGGAAGCTCTTGATCTTATGGCTCTCTTGGCTGCAGTTCCCGCCTTTTTAAGCGAAGCCCTTACGCTGCTACGCCGTTGGCCAGCCGCCCTTGAGGCAATCTCAGGCTGGGCCGTTGGGGCTTGCGCCGTGTCCTCAAGGACATGTTCTTCCATGATTTCGTCGGTTGCTATCTTCTCCAACTGCAGCTCTACTTCTTCATCGTCAGTGGCACCATCGCTCACCTCCTCTGGTGTTTTGTACTTGTCTTCATACTGACCCCACTTATCTTCAGTACTCGAGGCACAGGAATATTCTTGAGTGATAGATTCAGGCTTGGACGCCATCTTATGCTTGGACAGCATTTTTACAAGCTGCGAAAGCCTCTTTGGCTGAGCTGGCAGTAGCTCGATTTCCTCTGTCTTCTTCGATGAAGACACTTCGCCCGCGATGCTCTCACCACTAGCGGGTTTCTGGGTCGTCTCATCTGGCTTGGATCTCTGGGCCTTGTTTGCCAAAGATTGGACCAGCTTTCGAAAAGTTTGGGACTTTCTTTTAATGATTGTTTCTTTTCGAGGCTCTTGTTCCAGGATATAGTGGTGTTTGTGGGACGCATGCACAACTTCAATCTCGGTTCTATCATCATAAGTTTCGATCTCGTCCTCAGGCTCCTCTGTGTTTTCAAGAGAGTGGCTCGGGCTCTCTTGGATGGATGATTTGCTGGCCAAGCTTCTCTTGCGATTGGCAGTGACGCGCTTCCAATATTCATGAGCCTCGGAGTCAACAGTCTCAGGGGAGTCAATGTCGACGTTAAGATCACCGCAGTCGATGCATCCGGCTCCAAGTCCCTCAATCGACAAGCCATCGAATGTCTCTCCATCGTCGGAGTCAGAATCGTTGAGTTTCTCGACAAAGTAGCGCCCTTCATTCACCACGATAGTCGAATTGTCATCTGATGATGCTTCGGTCGAGGATCCTGATTTCGAGCTTGCTACGGATTCCTTGCAAGTTTCGAGGGTGCTCGGTTTCGCAAACGTGGCAGGAGTCGATGGTAAGGCTTGCTCCGATCCTACACTTGATGCAGTGGTAGCAGTATCGTTGACATTTCGGGCCTGTTGACCTGTCTTGACGGTTTTCTTCCCACTCCAGTCATCCAGCTCTTTGCCCGTGAAGAGATTCAACAGCGTCATGTCGTCGTCGCTGGATCCAAACCAAACGCCAGCAATTGCCGGTAAGCACTGCGTGGGATTTCGATTCGAGCGGTGAGTTGGATAAGGAAGATACAAAAGACAAGCAAAACAATGTGGATTTGACTAGCTAGAGTCGAGTCACATGGATTCTTACCGAACCGACCTTACGACGAGGAAGAATTTTGGGTCTCCCCGGCAAAATTAATTGTGAGCTTCGAGGCCATGATCAACAAAATTGAGTCACTGCCTCCCCTTACGGTTGTGGCTCTTCGAGGAGGTGAAAGGACCAGTACGGCTTTGATATTCGGCCATCGCGACGTCTTCGCGGCCTAAAGCATTGCCAAATGCGGCCAAGGGGTGCTATCTAATTTTGTCACCGTTCGTTCTCGAGAGCTTCTATGATACCGGTACCGGTGGGACATGTGTACGACGGCTCTGCTTTCACCTTTTCGGCCACCTCCCCCAACAATTTCGGGCACGAAGTTAAGCTTCGAAAACGGCGTGCTTCCAACGGCCACAAAGATTTGGAGGACAGCACAGCTGCAAAAGCAGACCCAAGAAACCCGTACAGTACTGGTGTACTTCCGCTAGTAGCAGCTTTCACCAAAGAGTACAGTACGAGAGCAAGCGCCCACAGCGAGTGAAGGCTCATAAGCATGCACCAGTAACTCGTCTCTTCGCCGCCCCCGCATCCCGTCGTTGGAAAGATGTACATACAGCAATGGATGCTTTTCTAGCTCTAGTTACGAACATGAACAAGCAAGGGACAGCGCCCGTTGATACCGGCAGAGTAGTAAAGAAAGCAACTCGCCGAAGGGCGGCGAAGGAAGCAAGCAAACGGCAAGACCTGCCTTCGTGGGAAGGAAGAGTCTAGAAATCTAGAAATGGGGGAGATTTGGCTGCAAACCCACCTCGCTCTGGTACTATTATATAAAATAACCAATGACGCACCGAGGTCTCGCGAGGCTGGAAGATGTCCCTTTGAAGCAAGCAAACTACATGTAGAACCATACCGGCCAATGGCCGTCCATGCCAGGACAGTCTGCAGCCGCGGCTGGCTAGTTTGCCGCCAATAGTAAAAGCAATCCTTGATGTTGGAGGGTCTCTCCATGGCTGGCTGGTTCATAACGGCACGACCAACAACAATGTATGTGTACTCGACAAGCCGTTGCCATGTACTAGTAGTAGTCGCAAGCTACTAGTACGGCTGTAGCTGAAAGGACGTCTCTCGAGTGATCGCGTGCCGAGCACGGGTACGAGTACGGGCTAAAACGAATGTACGGTTGGTACGGTAGGTACCGGTACCGTCGGTACCGTACTTTTACGGTATGATAGTCCTGACCCCTTACCGTACCGTACGATACCGTACAACGGTTCAGGTTTTTTAGTTGTTGGAGTTTCCTGCTTGTTGGGTCGTGCGCGACCATCATGTACGACTAAAAGCTTAACTCCTGCGAGCAAAGGGTCTCCGTTCGTCAAAACGATCTCCTCCAAGGAAATTTCAAGTAAGTGTTTGGCCCACTGGCCCACAAGAACGATCCTGCGATCTTCACTCTTTCCTCGTCTTGGTGATTGTGTGAAAGGTTCAAAGGTTCATTCCAGATCTTTGGCCATTGCAACTGCTTGTGAGAGAGGCGAGCCTGGCTTAGCCAAACCTTGCTATCCAGTCTTTTGAAAAGATTCTGCGTCTGTTTTTTTACTCTGTGATTGGTTGGCTTGGCTTGTGTTTGTTGTCATTGCAAAACGATGCCCAGCAAACGCAACAGCAAGTTGTACTCTCAACCACCACCACTGTCACCACCACAACAACGACGCCAGCAATCAGAGAGTTGGGAAGATTTTCATCAGCAATACCATTCGGAACAGTTTCGCTACTCTGCCAACAATCCTTCTATTCTGCGACGAATGGGCAGTGGCAACAATGCTCCTCCCTTTCGTACCTTTCTTTCCAAGGAATCTTCCTCCAAGTTGTCTTTGGTAGATCAGATTCTGTTGCGCCGCGACGACAGCATGTCATCTTGTAGCAGCAATAGCGGCAGCGAACGCGGACGACGAATGTCGGAGAGCGCTGGTGGGCGGCCAGGACGACGAAGACGATGCAAAGGCAACATCAAGATTGGACAACCACCGAAGCAAGCCAAGACATGGACGTTTCCCTCCCTAGGCTTTTCTAAATCACCCTCTTCTACCGGTACCAAATGATCAAACATTGGCCAGCAAACTAGCCAGCGGGTAGGCATTGCACCTGTAGTCCTCCCTGATCCCAGACCCAAGGGACGGTACTGGTACCCTTTCAAGTAGAAGAAACTTTTAGTCTTTCATTGAATCCGGTCCTGCCAAGCAAGTGTACAGTACTGGAGTGACAATGGAAGATATAAGACACTAATATGCATTTAAAATCTAACTGTTAGGAAGCAATTCAATCTTCCGAAACAAACGATTCCGATAAGGAGGCTGTATCGGTGTTTTCGGTATCACCCCTGCGCTCGATGGACGACGTCCTTACCAATCCCTTGGCCTGCTTGACAAAAGTACATCGTAGAGCCCACCAAAACACGAGGAGTCGCGCTTGTTCCTTTCCATACTCCTTATTGACCGCTCTCCAGCAGTAAGAACGTTCCAAGGCGTCGGGCATAATGTCTACCAGGAGGAGAACCTGCGCGACTTCCTGGTCAATGGTCTTGTCCATTTGTTTCTTGAAGACATGTGTGGGCATGTGGACCAATGCCCAGTTGATCTTGTTGGTGCCGATAGTCTTGGGCAGTTGGTTTTCGGGTGCATCTAGGATGGCAATCATTTTGGTGGAGACCATGCCAGTTTGGTTGATCCTGCTGTAGTAAAGTTTGTCCACCAACTGGTAGACTCTGGCCAAGGAGCGAGCGCGTTCGTGACCTCCCAATTCGGCGTTGGCCAAGTGCTCGGGGAGTTCAAACTCATCGCCTTTGCTCTCCTTGGGAAAGAGTTCCCCGGAGATTCCAGGCTTGTTTTTCTTGCGGAGACCCTTGGAAAGGAAGGGCTTGAGCATCTTTTTGTAGAGCCAAAAGCCCTTGCTGCTTTCGACGACAGTGGCAACAGGACGAGGCACACCAAACATGGCCGTGGACACGTGTTCTCCCAATAGAGCTCGCACAACTCGGTTCATGTACTGATACACCAAGAGCACCAGGGCAATCTCGGCACGGTTCGCCTCAGACAGGTCTGGGTACAACTGTGTGAGCTGCGCCGTGTCTGGAATGGGTTCCCTCATGGTCGTGGCCATGTAGACAGTTTCACCATAGGCCTTGGCTTGACAGGAAAGAACGGCATTGTCATCGTCCACGGCTTTGGCGGCTTCTTCCAGAAGGGTGTGAGCATCGATACAGATGGGACAATCGTTCTTTTGGCTGTAAAAGATAGACAGCTCTTCCACTATCAGACGACTCAAGTCCACTTCAGTTTCCAGAACCTCTGCAATAAAGGACCACACAGCAGGAAACAGATCGTCATCAACATCGTGCATGGTGAATGGGCCATTCTTACCCAGGGCGAACATGCCACCCAGACCAAAGTACTTTTTGATGCTCTTGCGAGTTGCTGCGGAGACGGACATGGTGATTCTTGACTTGCTTTGCTTTGCTTTGATTTGCTTTGCTTTGATTTTGGTTTGGAATTGTGAGAAGAGAATAGGTATCAAGCACCTGCAACCATACTGTACCGTACCGGTAGGCGAGTCGCTGAGTACAATAAAATAAATCTTATGGCAGCCAAGCATGCTGTATCACCGGGACGATGGATGTGGCTTGTCGCGCAGGAGATATCTATCGATCGTAGTGGTTTTAGACTTATTAAGGTACGTACGGTACCAGTTGGTGCCGGTGGCATCGGCCCTTTACCATATGTAGGACAGCCAGCCGGAGGCTAGTGCCCTCAACTTGCATTTTTCTAAAGACCAAGGAAGGGTTCTGGACCGGTAGCCTTAACCTTGCAAGGGAAACCATACCATATGTACGCAAGGGAAACCGCACCATATGTATGCGACACTACCGGTAGCCTTAACCTTGCAAGGGAAACAGCACCTTATGTAAGCGACACTACCGGTAGCCTTAACCTTGCAAGGGAAACTGCACCTTATGTATGCGACACTACCGGTAGCCTTAACCTTGCAAGGGAAACAGCACCATATGTACGCGACACACACACACACACACACACACACACACACACACACACACACAAGATAAAGTTCAAAAGGCCCTCAGCTTGCTAGCTGGTAGTTGAGGGCAATTCTACCGGTACCATCGAAGTTATGAACAGCAGTCGTTGGTTGATAAGGCATCATCAACGACCACTCTTTTCCCTCATTCCAGCATACATTATTTAATTTCTCTGTACTAGCTAGTACTACTGAGTAGTGCACATACATGTTGTGTACTTGTGTACGTGTAGTGTGCTGTACTTATTAGACTAGTACATGTAGTCTAGCGGTGTTTGCTTGGAAACATATTATTTAAGAAGGGGTACTTGGATTGAGTTCTCTTTCCTATCTTGGTCATAACATGGACATTCTTGAGAACTCCACTGGTGGTAAAAGTGCGTACTACATTTAGTAGCTAGCTAGCTAGACTAGTACCGTAGCAACTACATGTATGTATGTAACATGTTCTATGTTCTGCCACCCAGCTGCATCTGGAGCTAGCTGGTATCCCAGCACCCAGTTAGACTAGTTGCTTGCTGCTTAGTTGATTAGCTTCGAATGGATGCATACTGGGCATCTTTCAAGACTAGCAACATGTTGATGGCGCCATTGGATCCACAGCTAATATTTGCAACCAAAGAAAGAAGCATTGTTGGGGTCGAGCAGGAATCGAATCTAAAGCTGGCTAGCTAGCGGCTGTTCTGGATGTTCAACTGAGAGATTTGCTTCAATAGTAGTAAAGCAAGCAAGCTGGCTACTCTGGAGTAGCCACTATACATGTCTTGGATGCAAATCGGGTTGACCAAATCGGAGAACGATGCGACCTGATTCCTTCGATACTAGCTAGCTAGCTGGTACAGTACTGTAGTCTACTATTGATGCAATCACCCAGGAAATCATCTCCCTCTCGAACGGTCACTCACTCGAGGTTTCAGGTTTCAGTTGTCAAAGATCGGACAGGTTAACCTATGGTAGCTGATCTCTTCAACAGCCTTCCCAGATAGCTACTACTAGCTATGACATACTGGTACTAGTAGCTTAGCTTGCTCGAGAATAGCTAATTTTACTAAATAAAAGCGGCAGAGCTGATAATGTGAAATGGCGACTGAAACCCCGAAAGTTTTGAGGAACTGAGCAACTGAGCATCCTGCAAGCAAAGTTGAGCAAACCAAACCAACCAACCAACCACCCAAAAGTCATTGGGGCAGCCAACAGCCAAGGAAGCAACAAGGAAATGAACTACTGTTCCTTTGGTGGTTGTAAGTCAGCGTGAGAACCTACCGTACGAAGATGATGCTGATAGTTTTGATTGTTTCTCATCGCTATTGTCGTCAAGTTGCTTGGACACTTTTGAAGCTACTACATGTAGTAGCTAAGAGTTGTTGGCAAGGGCAGCCTACAAAAACGTTGTTCAATAAGATGTAATGAATATTATAGTATAGTATAGAAGTACGGTACATGTACGGAAGCATCCATTCCGCCGCACGCCATCAAGAATGCTGTATCATACCGGTAGGCTGGGTCTGTGTGTACTAGTCATGAAGTAAGAAAGTCTGCATCTCTGTTTTTAGCAGTTGTACTGGTTTGCAGCTCTATTGCCGGGAGGGTCAGCAGATCTGGCTCGGTTCGAGGCCGTAGCGGTGTTCGGAGCATCGATGGGACCGACAGTACCGGTAGTGGCGGATGATGGGTTCGAGTGTTGTGCCAATAGGGATTGCATGAGCAAGCGTCTTGTGGTATCGTTTTCGTTGTGATTTGCAAGGTTGTGTAGAAGAGCTGGGTTGATTGATCCCAACATGGATCCTGCAGCGGCAGCCCTGGCATGAGAGGGCAGGAATGCTTGTGACATGTTGAAGCGTTGCTGATGGTGTAGCGGTAGCGCATTGTGTAGATCCAAGCTAGTATGGTGAGTACTAGTGCTACTAGCGCCAGCAGAACCTTGTAGGTGCTGCAGCAAGGCTAGCTGTTCATGTTGAAGCAATGCTCCTACCGGAACATGTAGGTTGGACAAGCTGTTGGACAAGCTGTTGGACATTTGGATTGGCATTTGCATGGATAGAGAGTGATCTGGATTGCCAGCTCCTGCTCCCAGGAGTAGAGATGACATGCCCAAGGCCCTTCGTGTGGCAGCAGTAGCAGCACTAGGACTAGTGCCAGCATTCATGGCGCTGGAAAGCAGGGCATTGACATGGTTGGTAGTCGCAGCAGTAGCAGCTGCAGCCGCCACAGCAGCAGAAGTGGCCGTAGGAGTTCCAGTGCCATTGGTAGTGTTGTTGCTGTTGCTGTTGCTGTTGGAAGAGGTGGGCTTGCTTGTGCTTGTGCTTGTGGGGTCTGAGGAGATGGTTCTTCTGGCAGCTTGAATCTCGGCAGTTGGAATTGGCAATCCCTGAGCTTGGCAACGCTTGATTGCGGCAATGTGTTCTCTGAGTCTTTCATTGTCCTTCTTGATCGCACGGTTCTTCTGGTTGAAGACCTTCTGCTTGGTCTGAAGAGTATCCAGCATACTCCGCTGCTTCTCGCGGTTCCGCTGAGAGCTCTTGCGACTGATCGAACGCTTACGCTCCAACATCAATGCGGCGCCAGAGTCTTCAGGAGTCTTGCGCTTACGGTTGCCAGTGCCACTACCACTAGCACTAGCACTATTACTACATGCACTAGCACTAGCACTAGCCTCACTCTGGCCTTCACCAGCCCCAGCCCCAGCCCCAGCACCAGCACCAGCACCACTTACGATTACACGCTCAGGAGGATTCATCTCACTCTCACTTACTGATCTTCTTCAATTTTCTTCAGTCTTTCTTCCACGGTAGACTAGTCGATTGGTGTGGTTACAGTACCGGTGTGGTGCCTTTTCTGCTTCTTGCTATGGTAAAACCAAGTGATCCTTACACCTGCTCCTCTTCTCGGACTTTCACTGCCAAAGAGCTACACCTGATGGTAAAGTAACCTGACCTGACCTGTCAAAAGTCAGAGTTACCACTGCGAAGGCTGCTAACCGCTGACGCGTGACAACCTCGAAACAGCAAACGAGCAGGCTTTTAATGCACACCACCTAGAAAATCTTCTGGGCAGGCTCGAAGAACTGGCAACATTAAAAAAAAAAGGAACACCGTGATCGTAGCGTCACTTTGCATCAACCGGAAGCCGGAAGCCCTTGGCTGGAACATTCATTCACACATTTCCAAATTAATTTGAACACCATACCCAACACTCATATATCCTTTAGACACAGACTTAATTCCACAAGATTACACTACGTGACCTCATGTACTCATGTCGTGGCAAATTTTATTAAAGTATGCAGTTTTGGCACCTTCATTAAATCCTAATGGCGAGCGGCTTTTAACATGCTTCAAAAACGTGTTTGTCCATAACTTCAACTCACACATTAGACAAAGTCAATGCTGCGAGCAGGATTCAGAAAGAAGGGCAACCACTGACGTGATTTCATGTCGTGTTATACGCCTCAAAGATAATTATAATCAGCGTCAAACAATACTCTATTGCCAACGATGCTACACTGAGTTAACCATTGTCGGGTTGAACTAATCACAACCACTGCACAAGACATGGAATGATTCTCGGTGGTCGAACAAGCCGCTTGTGCGACACGCTCACCTGTTCCTCACCGTGGGTACGTTCCTCGCCGACTTGCCGAGTTGAAGCAGTAAAGAGCCTTCATGGTCACCTGTTCCATCCAGTGTCACCTCACAGGGATCCAGGTTAACAAGGAGAGAGTTGCAAAGGTGACAATTACTCCGAGTCTACTGCAGTACAGTCGTACCAATATGGCTAATGGTATAACTGTTGCCCTCCGGCGGCATCCGGGCACCGTAACATCATACACCATCACTTATGGGCACTTACATGTACTAATACTAAGACTTGTCTTGGCGGAATGGCGGCATCCCATCGATCGCTGCATCCTGCATCTCATAATAATAATATAATAATATGAACTGAGTACTCGTAGCTCCTTGGAGAGGACACAGGACAGGGCTATCGGACGGCGGACTGCTGTGTTCTCACGGTTCCCGCCACCATACTACAAGCTACTCCCCAGCCAAAATGAGGAAAGCAGCAAAAATGGGGAAAACCTTCGGAACGCTTGGGAAACACATTTGAAATTCCTACTTAACGTCCCTAGGAGCATGACTGGAGGATGACTTTGTGATCAAAAAGCCACCAACTTCTGGTTACCAGATCTCAGTCAATATCCAACCAATTGACCTAGTTGTTGAATGGTATTTGTCAGCAATAATGTTGTTTTGAATGACATTGTCTTACTTTGTTGAGATAGCGTAGTTGATAGTGTCATATTGGGTGTTTACTAGAAGGGGTCAATTTTGCCCCAAATACTTCTAAATGTAAGGGTATAAATGTTTCAATGTGTCTTAATGTCAAGGTGTGAAGGATGACTGATCTTCAAGTTACTAGGTGATGTGAGGTTGCCTGTTTTCTTAACACCGTGCATTAAATGAGGAAATCCTCATTTGTGTACCTACGATGCCACGATGCCCCTCATGCCTCATCTTGTGTGATGGCAGATGGCAGGCATCAGACGAACTTACAAGGCCCTGGCTGGTACTGGTACCGGGCATCGTACCCTTTGGCAGTTTGTGAGTAAACTTACTTAGTTCAGTCACTTTTTGCTAAAATCGTATGACCCTTTAGAATGGTACCGGTACTGTGTCGCCCGCTAGCTAGCTAAGCTACTGGACCGTCCGACGCTTTTCACTCAGGATTTAAAAATCTTCAAATGCCACGACTGACAACATCTTTTAAACAACCCCTTAAACAACCCTTTAAACAACCCCTTAAAGCTTCAACATCCCCTTAAACAACTCCTTAAATAAACAACCCCTTAACAACATCCCTCTATATCCTCGAAACAACTCCTTAAGCCTTCATTGAAACGCCATACAACAACCCCTTATCAAGAATGAACATCCCCTTAAATAAACAACCCCTTAACAACAACCCCTTAAATATTCAACATCCCCTTAAACAACCCCTTAAAGCTTCAACATCCCCTTAAACAACCCCTTATGAGAACCAGGATTATGAGTCAGTCGTGCCCGTTTTTAAAGCCTGAGTGAAAACCGTCGGACGGTCCAGTACATGTAGTCTGTAGTCTCTTTTCGCTTCCGGTTGGTATCACAGAGCTAGTCAAGGCAAGAGATGCCACTCCAGTAATGTAGTATACTAGCTAGTAGCTAGTATGCTCCCAAATTGCAACCAAGGTCTTTTAAAAAGTTTAGCTTTCCAACGCGGTCTCTACTAGCTTGCTAGCAAGAGTGTCAGCTGGCTTCGAAACCGCTACCGCTACCAATACTAGTAGAGTCGAGTCGATACGTTGGACACCATTCCGGTACGGTAGCTATGGCGACGAACAACTGACGATTCGAAGCACCCATCATATTCTACCACATGATCGAAAGGTGGCACCCCCAAAGACGCGCCCGATTCATGCATTTTCGCCCAGTACACTGTACCTTGGTCCTAGCGGTACCGGATACGGTACTCTTTGTACAGACGAACTCGCAGCAATGGTTGTTGGTCCTCCTGAGTTTCTACTACATGTAGCCGGAAGTTGATTATTTCGTACATTTTACCTTACTGGGTTGGGTGTCTTCTAAAGTACGTGCAGCTACTTTTAGGCTGTGAAGAGGAGACTGTCACTCGCCTCTTCACTCTATCTGAGATCTACCGTAAAGCTGGTCCCAAGCAAGACGGGCTGAACAATCTGCCTGTCGATTCAAGCCCTCCTGGTGTCGTGGTGGTACGTACCGTACACTGCCAAGGGGCCCAATGACAACGCA